TCATATACTTACATAAATAGGAAAATACTTCATAGCGACACATTAATATTACTAATGCCATTATACCTGACAATGTGCTCTTGTGCCAACATGGACGGGATTTAAAGGAATCTTTATTGTCTTCACAAAAGTGATAATCCTTTCTCATCCCCCACAAGATCAGCTTTTGTAGCTTTTTAGCTCACCGGGGCCCAAAGGGCCCCATGTGAGCTTATGCCATCACTTGGCGTCCGTCGTCGTCCGTCGTCTGTCGTCGTCTGTCGTCGTAAACTATTTAAAAAATATTCTCCTCTGAAACTACTGGGCCAAATACCTTCAAACTTTAACTAAATGTTCCTTAGGGTATCTAGTTTATACATTGTATCCGAAGTTTTGATCCATCGACAAACATGGCCGCCATGGCAAAAAATAGAACATAGGGGTCAAATGCAGTTTTTGGCTTATATCTCAAAAACTAAAGCTTTAAGAGCAAATCTGACATTGAGTAAAATTGTTCAATTGGTCAAGATCTATCAGCTCTGAAATTTTCAGACAAATCGAACAACCCATTGTTGGGTTGCTGCCACCGAATTGGTAGTTTTAACAAAATTTTGCAGTTTTTTGTTATTATTTTGAATATTATTATAGATATATATAAACTGTAAGCAGCAATAATGTTCAGCAAAGTAAGATCTACAAAAAAGGTAATATGTCCATAATTGTCAATTGACCCCTTAAGGAGTTATTGCCCTTTAAAGACAATTTTACACAATTTGTTTATCAAGTTTGCTAACATTTAAAAATCCTCTCCTCTGAAACTACTGGGCCAATTACCTTCAAACTTTAACTAAATGTTCCTTAGGGTATCTTGTTTATAAATTATATCCGAAGTTTGTATCCATCGACAAACATGGCCGCCATGGCTAAAAATAGAACATAAGGGTCAAATGCAGTTTTTGCCCTTTAAAGAAATTTTACACAATTTGTTCATCAAGTTTGCTAACATTTAAAAATCATCTCCTGTGAGATACAGGTGAGCGATTCAGGCTCTTGAGAGCCTCTTGTTTTTTTATCGAGGCCATCCTGCGAATGGTGATGGTATGAATTATCATTGATATGGTCATAATTACAATTAATTGTTTACAAACTTTAATTTTTTCGAAATTCTAAGGATTTTCTTCATCAGGAATAGATTATCTTAGTTGTATTGGGCAAAACCTTTCGGAATTTTGGGTCTTCAATGCTCTTCAACTTCGTACTTTATTTGGCCTTTTTAACATTTTGATTCGAGCGACACTGATGGGTCTTTTGTAAACAAAACGCGCGTCTGGCGTATAAAATTTTAAGCATAGTATCTATGATGAGTTTTTTTTACAACCACTTGGTCGATGTCATTGCTGGTGGACGTTTTTCCTCACCGAGGGTATTAACAGCCCAGTAGTCAGCACTTCTGTGTTGACATGAATTATCATTGATATGGTCTTAATTTCAAATTAACTATTTAAAAATGTTGATTTTTCGATATACTATAAGGGGTGTCTACCTCAGGAATAGATTACCTTAGCCGCATTTGGCAAAACCTATCAATTTCGTACTTTATTTGGCCTTTTTTAATAGAGCGTGACTGTTACTGACGAGTCTTTTGTAAACGAAACGCGTGTCTTGCGTATACTATTTTAAGCCTGGTATATATGAGTTTATGCATAAGGATATGTCATTTTTGGGTGTTGATGGTAGATTTTTTAAGTCTATTTTGTGTATTTTATAACTTTTAATTGACTTGGCATATTGTATAGGCACCTTTGTTTTGTTTGTAATCTTATTTTGACCTCTATGTGTCGTTAGATATCCTATTCATCCTTAAATCATACAGTAAAACGTCGGAGAACAGTAAACTTTATTCTTATATTCTACTTGTTATGACTTTAATGTTAATAAGGATGTTTTCTTTTTTCAATTTTCAACAGTTGATCAAGATGGAACTTATCTAAAGAGTTTGTATCTAAGACTAACTCATCTATTAATCAAAGCCGGTCAACCGCTAGACATCCTTCTATTATTAACGATATTAAATTTTGTTGAGGAAAAAGGAGACAGTTACAATGGTATAGTGTGCTATATAAGTTAACTGTCTTGTACATAACGTTAATGTTGTTCAGAGGTGTCAACTTTGTCAAAAGTAATAACTATAATCTTTATTGGTCCATATAAACTTTGAGATACTTCTATGTATTATTGAGATAGCACTGTAAAATGTCAAAATTTATTAAATGATATTGAAATTGTTTTACTACTTCCGTATCGCTAATTCAAAATTGTCAGTAGACCTATAAAAATATCATATATGATAATTGCTTAATATGAAAAAGATGTGAACATGGGAAAACGTATTTTAATATTCATAAAAAAAAGATTTTCCAAGGGTAAAAAAACTGTCATAAAATTGATTCGATGTTAAACGTCATTTTAGGCCAATAAAACATATATATTAGTTGCATTGGTAATTACTCAATATGAGAAAGGTATAAAACGATATCAACTTGGGAAATTGGGTTTACATAGATTAACCAAAGGGCAAAAACCTGTCTAAAATTGATTCCGGTGTTAAACGTCAGTAACAACACACTTCAATAAATATAATAATAATGCTAGGTCATCATATAGGAGGTATGGGTCGGGATTAAATCGCGCCAGCTATTACTTCGCTTACTGTTACTTTTTCAAAGATTCTTTTAAATATTTAATACAGAAAATAGATCGCTAAATCTTTTACGTTGGATATTCAATTGTATTATAAAATATTGAATAATCAGCTTGTACGTCTTGTGGAGTTGAGTTGAAGTAAATCTAAACTATACGACAAAATAGTATACATAATTTTAATTTGAATCTTAATGAATGTAAACAGAAACAGTCACCAACTGGAAAAATATATTGGACTTTAAAATTGAAATGAAAATTAATAACATGTTATCAAAATAACCTTCTAGATTATTTTGTAAGCTTTGCAAGTTTGATATATCAAAGATGTCAATCATTTTTAAGGTTTAAGACATCCATGTTTTGTCACCATACATGTTTAAGGACAAACCAAATAGCCCGTTTTCAATTTCATTTTCCAAGATAGATTACTTATTGTTTAGACGGAGCATTTTAATATATTCACCAACCTGTGATTATTCTTATACAATGCACGGCGATCTACTGGTATTATACGGGATAGACACTCTAAAATAAAAGAGACTGTTACATGTATTTACAATACAGTGGAGTAAAACGACTAAAAATTAGTTGGAATGTAAAGTATTCACATTTGATTGTCCGTTCAAATTCTGAAAAATACCTGTATACCTAATAGTAAGGTATATAGGTATTTTTTTCAGAGACGAGTGCCTGTGGATGGCGTTTCCACTAAATTCATACCAATTTGACCAGTTAATTACTTTCCTTCAGTATAATTTTTATTTCCTCAATACTGCACGTTCCTCTTGCCTTCGTTAGTCTGAACAATGTCTCAATAACACATTTGTCGTTTTATGGTAAAATTTCACAAAGCAAGTTGTCCAAGACAAACAATCAATCACATACTTAACCTATAGGCATCATGCTGGAGATTGTCTACAGTCCTTATAATGTTACCGTATTGCCCGACAAAGCACAACCTTACGATTTCAATACATGCTCTAAACCGAGATTTCTAAAGAAAATAGTTAGGAAAACTTCTAATTTTACACAAATAAAGTCTTTAGCAGACAAAGACAGACAAGACAGACCAACCCTATCAGAGTGTAGTCTTAACTGTATGCGAGTACTAAATACTCAATGACACGTAATAGCTTTCTTCAATTTTTATTCGGATATATTAAAATGTATTCCCCATTGTTGGGTGAATCGTATTTTGAATGTTTGTTCATTATGTAATGAGTGACAGACTTTTAACTGTACAGTGTTAAATCAATTAGGCAAACAAATGAAAACGATTTATGATAATGTAGAACAAGATTACACGCAGTGCCCCCACTCGTTATTCAAAATGTTGGAAAAGAAGAAGTAGGTGTCTGACAGATCCAAAACACACACACACGTTACAATTCATCACTTTAGAGCTGCCGACTTAATGTACAGTCATTCTCTTAAGTAGTATCGAAGAAAAGTATCAGCAAATAAGACGTAGGTATATTATGGATTCGAAAAGTGCTCACACACAACTGCTTTTCCCTGCTAAGCTTGCTGAACAAATAAGAGTAGTTTCTAAGAAAAGTGTTACGAAATATTTGTTGGACGAATGGACGAGCGGATATGGTGATTGTAATATAGCCACCACTGTAAGAGTGGTTTTATAATATATTGCTTCTTTTTGGTACGGACTTTCGAAAAAAGAAATAGTGAATACGTTGTGATATCATATCTTGCTTCTTTTTTGAAAGGGCATTAGAAAACAAATGTAAATACATTGTACAATCTTCAACTGGATACCCACAGCTATTTGCGGGATGAGGTTTGATATTTACAGGTCTTTTTTTTTAAAGAACTGCACACATTTCTCAATCGTGTTTGAATAATATTCCATGTTCCTTCACCACATCTGAAAAAGGAAAATGGCTGTATTAAGCTGTTTTTCATCTTTCGTTGGAATATGCATTTCGAGTACTCAGTATGTCGGTGTTTAGGTGATTCCATTCTGCAGTAGTAGTATAGAAACTGGATTTTATAATGATAATTAGAGGATTTGAACTCAGTCAAATTCATTGTAATGTATCATTATGGAAAGATCTAACCAAAATTCAATTGCTCGATTGGATGTGGTAGTGATTGAATCAACTTGTTCTTTAACTCTTCTATACTCTCTCAAATAATACCAGAAGCATTACTCCCGCTCCATGTGTATCACGCTCCTCTCAAGGAATTGTATCATAAATCTCCGTTGGTTGAGTACTATTTATTTAACAATCCACTCGTTTTTTTTTATTATATTAGCTGTCAGCTAAATGATTTAAGACGATTTTACCATATTGTTTCAGATAGTTACAGTGACCATGTAATGAGGTATTAGACAACAAACCATGGGTTCCGGGTCAAGTACACAACCTCAACAGCGACCTCAGTCATCACCGAACAAAGTAAACGGCACTGCTAGTCAGCATGATGCACCTGTGAGTCTGCACCTTTCTCTCATACTTGTACCAATCAAGAAAAGAAGCAGCATGTGAAATAAGTAAAAAAACCCGTTACACTCTTCTTTTACATTTGAAAAATATGTTCACGCCCTCATACGAATCATTCTCTTTGCTTGCAAAATTAAGTCGGTGACTCTCGTAATTGTTTTTAAAGCTTATAAAACATGTTTATATGAATCTCAAAATTGACGACGAACGTTTAAAATCGTTTTATTTCATTTATATTATTTTATAATAACAATTTCATACGATTAGATTAAAAGACATTATGTACATGAAAGGGTTGACAAAAACATGATAACATTATAACGATTTAATGATTGGTACGGGTATTTAACTTTTAATGTAATAATAACACAGTATTGCAAGTCTTGTACATGTAGATATTTCAGAAGGCCATCGACTGTAAGTGTCGAATGTGTAAAATACACGTAACAAGCATGATTCTATATGTGCATGTTCATTTGACACTATACATATATATTATAACTGTTTAGCATGTTAAATAGTTTTGTTGTGTATGTGTTTTAGGTCGTTCTTTTTGGTGTTTTTTCTATACATGTTCGTAGTTTTATCGTAGCCAGATTTATTATATGCATGGGCATGAACCGTTAATATGATTTTTATGTATATTACTGATTCTTTACTTGTATAGCTTTAATAGCTTGCTGTTGTTTATATTCCTTTGTACGAAAATAGATAGATGTGATATAATTGCCAATGCAACAACTATCCTCCGAGGACGAGAATCAAAACCATGCGTTGTGTTGGGATTGTTTTGTTCCGTTCATATACTATTTCTCTATTGTCCAAATAAAAAAAACTACTTGTTTTCTTTCCGTATATTTTAATAAGTAAACCCAAAGATTTACAAAATCATCAAAACTGATCGCTGATCATAATTTTATCAGGATGATTACATTTTCATAATTCCATAATCACATGTTTTTGTGAAAAAAATTTCAGTTGATGCAATTGGTCTGTATGGTGTTATTTATTATGCTTTTCTTTATATAATTTTCTGTAAGCCTCAAGATGAGTAATAGCAATTAAAACGTTTGTCTATTGGTATATATGTTAGGTTTCTTTGTATAGTCTATCTTTGGAATCATGTCTCATTTATCCTCTTTACATCATTTTCTCCTGTCAACATTCGTTTCAACCAACCAATAGTCAAACTGGTATTAACTTCCCTGATAGAGAATTTTAACTTCTTTGATAGAACTTCATAATAGTCAACGGGTCTTGCCCTCATTATGACATCTTTAAGCTACAGATTCAATTTTGCTTAAACAAAAGTAAGTCAAATGCCATAAAAATTAAAAACGTATGAGAAAAACGCAATAAAATGCTTTATAACCATATATTCTATTATAAAACACTTAAACTCAAGTGAAAGTTAACTGTACAAGGATCATAGAAAACAAAAATATATCATTAGTAGTTATATATCTAACCAGTTTGAACTTATCTATAAACTTCCTTCTTCTTTTCACACGGACTGAGTTGTATATCTTCCTTTATTTATTCTTATTTCAATGATTTTAAGGGGGTTCCCGAAATGTTTTCGAATTAGGACCAGTCTGAACAACAAACGGCTTCAAAGTTCTTTTTGTTTTCTTTGTTTAATATTGACTTGGTCAAAGCAGATGTGGAGTGTACGTCTATATGATATCAACACGAGCACACAAAATAAACAAAAACAGTTTCCAGAGATCAACTTACGATTTTTAACAATTAACATATGTTTGGTTTTATTTTTCATCGATTCTGTTTGAAGAAGGGGCAGTGTCCCCTGTTGCTTCATCACCATGTACTATTAGAGGTGTTTTTGTATATGACTAATTGAATCAATAACTAAGTAAACTCAAAAAGTAAGTGCTTCAAAAGCCAGTTTATCAATTTTTAATGCAATGGTACACTTAACTGAATGACTGTTTAATATATTCAAAACACCCGAACGTTAACCGTATCTACTTCACTACAACAAGGATTCGGAGTGGTCAGGATATTAATCTATCTGTCTTCTTCACATTAATTAAAATTTAAGAGTGGTTCGTGTTCATATTATAGCATGCATTTATTGTAAAAATAAGCATGTGCTGGGATAGTTTGAGTGTCCGTGTTAGATCTTTTATACACGGTTTAAATAATTCAAATGGTTACATTCATGATAAAACAATTTATTCAGCAATGACTTGTAAATCAGATCTATATGGTAACGTGTCGTCAATTTGCTATTTAATGGTAATCGACTATATATGATAGCATATAACTCTTAACAACATATTAAGATCTGAACAACAAATACATGGATTAAGATTTAAAAACTTTTAGATATTGAGTCATTATAATATTTCTAGTTGAAAAATAAATTGTTATCTATGAATTTGTAATTTACTTGTGATGGTATATGCTTGTCGGATTAGGATTTCAATAACAGATAACGTTTTATTGCAGGACTCGAGACCACAAACAACAGGAACAGAAAAGAAGCCACAGAAACCACAAGTTCCTCCTCCATGTCCCCCTAAACGACGGAAAGCTGATGTCTTTCAGTTGTCAAAATATACACATGTTGACGATTATTCACTAAATGTAAATACTAGTTTTCTTAGTAATGAGTTTAAAATAACTACCAAGATGAAGGACAGCAATAATAGCGCTACTCCCTTTGTATATATATATAGTTATTTTCCAGTAAATTGTAAGAATAATAGTTCATGCACATTCACCAAATACCATTTTTCTCAACAGATAAGAAAAAATTCGTAGATGAACCGAAGACATAACACTTGGTTCTGATCACGGAAAATAAGGCATTGACTGACGTAAAATATGGCATTGACTAGATCTTATTTTAACAAAGCTGTGTTTACTTAAATAGAAATTTTTCAAAGGTTCTTTTAATTTGTTGTTCACAGCAAATATAATTGGAAGTGTAATCAGTAAGATAAATATACTATCTACTTATTTCTACGCAAGAGCAAACGTACTGAATACTGAAAATCAGTACTGTCATTCATGTAATCTACCGCTCAATGTTGATGCACATTCTCCAAGTACACTGTGACTTTATTTTTACTTGATAAAAAATTTCCAAATTTACATTAAATGTTGTTTATTTTCAGTCACCACCAAATTTACTTGTTGGTACCTTCAAAGAGCTGATAGGATACTTAACAAAGAATCCAGAATGGGATGACATGTGTAAAGTTCGCGCCATTTTCAGATGGGTCTCGTCTGTAGATGTGTACAGTCTGAAAACAGAAAATGACCCTCCTACGCATTCACCACTGGAATATTTTATAAAGATTCAAAAGAACATGGGAAACCACGCCCATCTTGTTTCTGGTCTATGTCAGTAAGTGTTGTTGTGTATTACTTCCTTATACTAGGTTTGTGTTAATGTATCTTTTGATATAACTATCTTATAGTAAATTGCACCTAGTGAGAAACTTTCTGTAAATGGAAAAAAATATCCAAAATAAGAATAAGGTATGATTGCCAATGAGATAACTATCCACCAGTGTTCAAATGAAGTGGATGTAAGCAATTATAGTCAACCGTGTGGCCTTCAACAATGCGAAAACCATAAAAAGTATATTTGTTTAAATAAAATTGCCCGCATGAGTATAAGAAAAGAAAAACGATATATAACGACACTAATATGTAAAACATACATAATTATGACAAAAACAATAAATTGCCTGTACCAAGTCAGGAATATGACAGTTGTTTTACCATTCGTTTGATGTGTTTGAGCTTTTGATGTTGCCATTTTATAAAGGACTTTCCGTTTTGAATTTCCTTGGAGTTCGGTATTTTTGTTATTTTACTTTTTCCTTTGTTCTTGAGCGTACATAATGAATGCTATTCCAGACAATTGCTGTGTGTACTGAAAACAGGATCATAAGTTCATACAGTAAATACATGAAGATTATTTCCATGATCTAATTGATCGTTGAATTCTATACAATTTTTTTCATATATTGACAGAATGGCAGGAATACCCTGTGTAATTATCAGTGGTATGAACAAGAGTGCAGCATATGAAGTCGGCAGTAAAGTAGACCGTAAAATGATGGGTGCTCAATGGAATGCCGTATATATTGATGGCGAATGGCGCTTTATCGATGCCTTCTGGGCCTCTGCATGTGTTGTTGGTAAAAAGTCAGGCGAATGGACTTTAGTGGACACTGATGGTAACGTGACCCAGGACGACGAAGAAACTTCTGAAGGAGAAACACAACACAGAGTTAATGAGTTTTATTTCCTGCCTGACCCCGACCAGTTAATTTGGACACACTTTCCTGACGAAAAGGCATGGCAACTTCTGGAGAAGCCACATACTGTTGCTGAATTTGAGAATCATACTTATATCCGTGAAAGATTCTATTATCTTGATATGTTCTACACAGACAAGACTAAAGAACAATGCATGTTAACTGCAAGTAAAGGAGAAGTTGGGCTCGAATTTGGATTGCCTAAAGAGAAAAGTGAATACTTCAGATTTAAATACATGCTATATCAAAACCGAGCGGAAAGCGGATTGGATGGAGGCAACCTATCGCTTGAAAGATTCGTAATGTTCGAGCATAATTCCGATTTATTAAGATTTGCATTACGATTCCCGGTTGCCGGTAAATTTAAGATGGACGTTTTTGGGTTAGATGAACGAGAATCTGATGTATTTGATCTTTGCTGTACATATCTTATTTCATGTTCTGACCCTCAAAAGAACTGTATGCCTCTTCCAGATTGTCCGGAAATTGGTTGGGGTCCTGGCGTTGAAGCGAAGAACGCAGGTCTCAAAGCTAAATCGCACGATGGAGCAATTATCATATCAAAAGATGGAAGGGTTGATATCAAACTTGGTGCACACAAAGATGTCCGTCTTCACCAACTTCTTAAAAATGCTATTGTTGATGAGGCCACACTAAGTAAATACGCAGTAATCAGAGAGGAGAATGGCGAATTCACAGTGCATCTACGTCTACCACAGGATGGAGAATATGCAATGAAACTTTATGCAAATGACGAAGGTGAAGACGGAGATGCATCAAACGTCTTGAACTATCTGATCAAATACATAGAAAAAGGAACAAACGAACCATTCCCGAATATCACGGATGGCAAGATCGGTAAGAAATCCATAGCTGATAAACTGGGAGTAAAGGCAATCAGTAATCCGGGCGGCTCAGTAGTTACGAAGGACGGCAAAGCATCTGTCACCTTTAAAGCTAGAAACGACGTCGAACTTGTGTGTGAAATACATAGTCAAGATCCAAACGCTAGGAAACACATGATAGTTAAACCTACAAATAAAAATGGCACTTGGACATTTGATATGGACATGCCAATTGAGGGCGAGTATTCTCTTAATATATTTGCTCGGGAAAAGGGCAACCCGTCAAGTGTTTACAACGTTCATTCCTACCTTATAGAATCAGACGGACATGCTATTGACGAGGAGAAGGCAGACCAAATGAAGGGCGAGCACAGCGAACCAAATGTTATTACAGAGACTGTGGAAACATCTGAGCCTGAAATTTTGATTCCCGCTCCGACTGGTTACGATAATGTGGTCGCCTGTTTCCACAGACGACACGCAGATGATTCACCAGATAATGACACCGTTAAATTGATGGAGCAAGATGGACTAAAACTTTTCCTGACAAAACTTGAAGACTTTGGAGAATATATGATGGATATATATGAAAGGGATGCCAACGGAGTTCTTATGCATTTAGCTAGGTACCAAATAAACAGAAAACCAGCTTCAGAGTTGTACAAAGATGACGCTAAAATGTTGATGGAACAACTTCTACAGAAACCGGACACAGAGGAAGAATTATTCGATGATAATGATAATAAAGAGGAATCAGATGACGAAAAACAGCGACGAAATGCCAAAAAATTAATGGATAGAGCAATGCAACAGAAAGATCAATATTCTCTAGAGAAGGCGATTGCAATGTATGAAAACGCCGGCGGCAAAGACGATGAATATGTTAAGAAGGCAAGGAGATGGTTGGAACTTTTGCAAGCTAAAGAAGGTAAAGTCTGTAACAACGTTTGGTTACTTCAGAAAGTAATGAAAAAGCAATCATATGTTAAGAAAGAAAGAAAGAACGAAAGAAAGAAAGAAAAAAAGAAAGAAAGAAAGAAAAGAAAAGAAGAATATAACAAATAAATAAATGATGACCGAAAAATAACATATATCTCCTTAAAATTGTATGAAATATAAATTAAAAAAACAACTGAAACCATATAAAATTCAGCATTGAAATATTTGTCAGTCGAGGAGGTTGTTCTCAAGAACACTTGATATAATTTACCAAAGATGGGTGATAACAGTTATTTATTTTGTATATAGTACTACACACACACGAAATATAAGAACCATGTCAAAGTAATCAGTAATTTTACTGTGATTCCTTTGTTTTAGAGTTGCAAAACGCAGCACAGAGAAGAGAACTGGATGCCCTTGATAAAGCATTGGCAAGAGCAAAGGCAGCGAACTTTGACAACCAGTTGGACTTGCAAATAGTTGTGGCACAAAGACTCCGTGACCAGTTAGCCAGGATAGAAAAACTTCGTCATTCAGTGTTGAACATGGACCAGAAGACTATTGCTGAGATCAGGACCTATTCTAACCCACCAGAGGGTGTACATCAGTCACTTATGGGAGCATTCTTGTTATTAGGACATCCAATGAAAGAAGTTAAGGTGAGAGTTTAGTGCCTTTCGTCTTGTGACTATCGGTTTCTTTCCTTTTAAAGTATGATAAAATCACTATCTATTTGTATCAGAACGAATGTATAATACTATATTTTTTTTACATTGTGAAAGCTTGATCAATCTGTCATTGTGTAACTTAAAATTGCAAATACTAAGAGAATAAATAACGTATAAGAAAATGATTTATTGATAGTTTACATGACATAACCATTTATCTTCAAGCAAGTTCTTGCTATTTCTTAGAACTAGGTTATCAGTTAACATTGCATACCAAATTGCGTTTTATCAGGTGTGGAGAACATGTCAGAGCATTCTGGGTAAAACTGGAAGAGAATCTGTAATGAGAAAGATTCAGAAGTTTGACCCCAAGGATTGTTTCTTAGCAGCAGCTTTACAGTCCAAAAAGGTCATTTCAGATTACACTCTCGAACATATACGAGATGTCAGTGCTGGTGCAGCAACGTTCTTTGTATGGGTTAGTATTCTTATGTTATAATTCAACCAAGCCTCAGTATGAAAAACATGAAAACAACACTTTAAAAATTGCATGTGTCCGAAGCGCTTTTCTGGATTTACCTTCGTCAGAAACTCTGAAAGCCAAATATTTGAAAGCCAAGGATGTATAATAAATATATATGTACAAGTAGATGAAATGTCTTCTAATCGTAAAATATTATATGCGAATTGATAATTTTCTTCATGTAACTACTTTAAACACCGTGATTCTGTTTGATCACTGAAATATTTACTTCATATAAATAGATATGGGTATGTGTCTATGAGAGTACTTACGACATCTGACAAGTTAAAAACTTTCTATTAATTCTTCTTTCAAAACAAAACAAACATGACATTAGTATTTTAAACATGTCACCGCCTCGGTGATCTCATGGTAGCGTGCTCACCTCGATATCCTCCAGGTGAAATCTAAGATTTGAAAATTGGTGCTCGTTGCTTATCCGTTAAACACGCGACATTTAGGATAAAGAGCAAATACTTGTCTACTACTAGGGGGTGTTTAACGACCTTATCTACTTATGAGGGTCTCGCTCGGTCGGTAAATACTGGTCAGTTCGGAGTCAAAACAATATTTCTGGGTAGAGTGGCATGTTTTCCTGTGGATTGTTTCTGTTTGAACTAGCACGTTAGAAGTACGGCTCAGCTCGTCAGTCTAGTATAAATCGATGCTCATATTCATTTCACATTAAAATGTTTTCGTCTTGATATGGATGTAATATTTGCCATTGGACGTTAATCGACAAATCATTATCATCATTAAATCATTTTAGATTGGTTTTGTTTATATAAGGAAAATTGTATGATTGACAGAGGATGACATATTTTAGTTGTTTTCATCTATAAAATAAACAAATGCATATTTTCATAGGCAAAAGGAATGATTGAAGAAGTAGAATCTACAGGAGGAAGACAAGAAGAAGACCCAGTGACTGGAGCAGCTAAACAGTCAAAAGGAAGAAAGAAGAGAAGATAGATCTTAAATAAACAATCAAGCTTTCAACATTAACATTTTCTGTTCAAGCATATTTTTGCGTTTGGGCAGACACATTGTTTCTATATAACAATCAAATAGACTACAAATTAAATTTGAAGTTTGTTTATTTATATTTTATGTGTCATGTTTTAATTTTCATTCAAAAGAAGAATAAGGAATTCAGATTAAATGACACCGTGAATTCAGTTTAATGATACCGTCTCCATTTTATGAATTATTTATATTATAAAATGATTAGTGATAGACGTCTCCGATTTTATATTATTCTAAAGACATATTCTACTATACAACTGTAAAACAAAGAATATCAATTAAGTGCAATCATTATACATATATATATATATATATATATATACAACTCGTCTAAACATCAGCCCAAAAATGTTAGATCTGTAAATTTGCTTTCGCAAATTTTTTGTTCTTCCCTCGCCGGGATTCGAACTCATGCTACTGAGATATCGTGACACCAATTTTGTTCTTCCCTCGCCGGGATTCGAACTCGTGCTACTGAGATATCGCATGAGTTCGAATCCCGGCGAGGGAAGAACAAAAAATTTGCGAAAGCAAATTTACAGATCTAACATTGTTGGGCTGATGTTTAGACGAGTTGTATATACAGAATGTAAACAGCCATGTATCACCATCACTGCTGGTGATCCGATGGATAAATTTGTTGTAGAGTTGTCACTGGTTCAGATGTACTTATATATATATATATATATAAATGTATATATACATGTATATCTAAAAGGAATGCCTTCAACATCAGTATCATCGTGATTTATCATTTTTCGTAATCCATAATTGCAGAATTTCTAATGCAAATTTAAATCAATGTTTCATTTTTTTAAATCAAGAAGGAACTTGAAACCAAAGAAGTCCCTAGCTTGTATTCCCAAATATAATTTTTACAAATTACCAGAAGTATACTGAGAACTAATTTTGAAGAAGTTCTTGATGAAATAACTTCAAGCTTTTTTAGCAATATTATTCATATATCTCTGCCATGACAGGGAACCTCAAAAGTATATTATGATAGTTAGTGTTTGTTTTTCAGTCAATCATATTTCATTATTTCACCCTTTTACATGGCATGGTAACAACTCACTCCAAAATAGCTTCCGTCTGTCGACGACATATATCTTCTGTTTTTTTAAAATGATATTGTTCTATATATCATAAATGTGTTACAAGCGTGAAACATCTTAGTTTTGTATGATACAGAAGCAAATTCACTTTTTGTATTACATTTTAGATGTCTCATTTATTTCGCTCTCTCTCCGATGGAGTATTTAATGGCGAAGGTACCCTAATTGACATAAAATATATTGGTGTAAAATATGAAAAAAAAATATTTTCAATTTTCAAGAAAAGACACATTTGTTAATATTTTAATTACTGTGATTATTTGAAATTAACTATATTCAAATCTCTTTAATGGAAATAACTTAATTTTGTTGGCTTTTTATATTTTGATTTTAAGGAACTCTTAAGGAAAGCAATTTTCAAATATGTTCAAAGAATTGAGAAGTTAAAACTATCACGTAACTGTATTGCAATATAAAATGCTGAGTGGAATTTGTAAGATTTGAAATCAACAGCCTTTATTATTGGTATTTTCATTTTAAAAATTTAATTAAAATTGCCGACTTGCTATTCTGTTGCCTACCATTTATTTTTAAGAATGTTAAGTTCACTATATTTTTAGTCTCAGAAACCTTAGGAATCAGGTATAAAATCGTGCACAAGAGTGTGCAGACTACTGTTGTGTTAGTTTTATTAAAAAAAACGACATTCCGCTTTGCCAATAAGATTAAACGGAGTGATATCAAACAACATTTCAATTGTGATAAGTCCAATGTTTATTTAATATCCGTCCTTTTTAAAAATCTGTGATAAATGATTGTTATTATACTGAAGAAAAAACCAAATTCCGTTTGGAAACTTCAAAAGCCGTCCTTTTAGATTAGCAGTCAAGAATTAAGTTATAATTTTTGTATTTTATTCTTATTTTTTTTCATCTTTTGAATAAAACTGTTGATATAGTCATTAACACATTTGTTGTTTGTTTGTTTTTATCTTATTAACTTATTTGATGTACGTCTAGCGTCTTAAACACGTTGGAAATCCTGTCTTTGTTGAATTCTCAATTTCAAGCAAAACGAAAACGAACGACCAACTATTGAAAATCATAAAAAATAAATTCGGTAAAATATTATATCTACAATCGATAACGGAATGATATTCTTCCATCAAAGGAAATTGCCAACATCGTTCCAGAACATCGTAGAAACTAGAGACATTTCTGTTTAAATTGATTATATAGATATAAGAAGATGTGGTATGAGTGCCAATGAGACAACTCTCCATCCAAGTCAAAATTTATAAAAGTAAACCATTATAGGTCACAGTACGGTCTGCAACACGGAGCCTTGGCTCACACCGAACAGTAAGCTATAAAGGGCCCCAAAAAATTACTAGTGTAAAACCATTCAAACGGGAAAACCAACGGTCTAATCTATATAAAAAACGAGAAACGAGAAACACTTATGAACCACATAAATACTTTATGTAATCAAGCCTCTAAGTAAAATCATATGCTTGAAATTTTATAGCAACATCTCCAAAATGGACCATAAATTAAAGAATAGAAGTAATTTGGTGGTAAAATATAAAAAATAGAATAATGAACCAAAAAATAAGGAATAGAGAAAAAATAACCTAAAAGTTTACCCAGTCCTGACCCTCATGCATAAAGTGTAAGAAAAGAAAGGCGAAAGTTACCAAAGGAACATTCAAACTGACAAGTCCATAACAAACGGACTATGCTATGGTAAAAACGAAAAAATTACGTAAAGACAAACAACAGTACACAAAACTCAAAATAAAAAAACTAAAGACTGAGCAACAAAAGTGTAAATACAAATGTGTGTGACACGATAACAAGGTGTGTACTGGAAAGCACAAAAACTTAAAAAAAAAGAAAGATGGAACAAAGCTTTGGGTAACAACATAACATAACGTATTGTACCATCATGCAAATCTGCCTATAATTAATTCATATGTAACAAACTTAACAGTTACATCGAACAAAGGGATGTAACTGGAGTAGCCAACACAAGGTACACGTACGTATGTGCGACATCCCAATTTTCGTACAGCCTTTTATTTGAAAAAAAAAAATTAAAAATTAACACACAAAACAGTACGTGTAAAGACTGAGAGATTATAATGCCATTCTTTTACCGGATATATGAATTATATAAAAAGTAAAAAAGAATAAAAAGGAAATGAATAATTACATAAAATCAACGCACAAGCAAATTTTAGCAACACAATAAATTTCAAACTCAAATCTATACGACAGCAAATAGTGATGATAATATAACAATGGTTCAATTTTTCATTGATATCTGACAAATATTGTAACAGGAAATGTCCTTAACGAGCTCACCAATTCCTGAGTTTATCTATTACAACCTAGAAAACCTACGTTTTCGGAAAAATCATATCCGCGTATATTAGCAAACGATGATAATGACCGATGGCGGGTTAACGCCTTGTGGCAGTTAAATTCATATTGTGGACGATAAAATGTTAATGTGATGTGAATATGAACCCTGTTTTGTACTAGACCGACATGCTAATCCGGTTTTTAATGTGCTAGTTTACAAGGTAACACTTACTTAGCCACATTATTCTGACTCCGAGTCAACTAGTCTTTGTTCATACCTTAGCAGAGATGTACATGTAGCAGATAACAAATTTTCAAATCTTTGGTTTGACACGGCCATTGAACCCACGACCTCCAACACTCGAAACGAGCATACTCACACACAAACTTACATTGTACTTTGAGCTCTATTAATGTCTTTAAATGCAGGAATTTTTTATTGGTATATCATTGTTTATTATTGCTGTTTTAATTGGCTTTTTTTCAATTGGTTATCTTTTGTACCGTTACTTTCGTTTAAGTTAATAGCTTTTCCTATATTGTTATTTGAAGCAGTTGGTGTTGATGGCAGATCTTTGACCGTTTCTGTTTAATTTATTCACATCTTTCTTAGCATCTGGAAGATTTGGAGCTTGACATATTGTATAGATTCCTGGATAGTGTTGCAGACTGTACATCTTCGTTGACCATAATGCATTTGTGGGCTCGTTGGCTGTCTTTGTCATCCGCATCACATCTCCTTTTGTGACAAATTACAAAAAGAAGCATTCATTTCTTATATTTTGTACATGATCATAGAAAGAAAATATATGTGTTTAGGTTTTAGTCACAAAAATGATTAGATAAATGTGATATAATTTTACTAAAAAAAAATTCACAATGGGCATATAGGTTTTGATTTTTTTAGTGTATGTAAATCTTCGTCAACAAAAAATTCTTTAAAATTTTAAAGATTAATTGTGCATTAATAGGGTTAGCAAAAGGAAATTTAACTTAAGTATTTTTTGAAAGGTTTTAACAGACGGAGAAATTGATGAAGAACAATTGAAATAAATACATAAAACGCATTTAAAGCTAACAAGTTGTTATTGTTGGCATTTGTTTTTGTATAGTCCACTGGAAGTAGGTTCTTAATACTTAGTATTGAAGACTCGATCACTTTGATAGGCAACTAGTCTAAATACCACATTTTAAGATAGTCGGTAAGATAAATTCGTTACATAGTGTGCTAGTGACCTAATACGATATATATGGGGTCAGTAAATTCCATATGGGGATTCGAGATTCGCTCTCACCCCCTATGGAATTTACTGACCTCTAATATATCGTATTAGGTCACTAGCACACTATATATACGTAACTAATAATATCACACATGAACTAGGCGTGTATCGAAAGCAAAACTCTAACCTGTCGTGTTCTGTTCTCTGCTTAACAAAAATGATTAACAAAGTGCTTAACACAAATTTGTTAAACTCATAATCAAATGATTTTAAAAGATGTTGAATGAACTTGATTATAAACAATATAAACCAAAGAAAAAACTAGGTTTTTTTTCATAAGATGCAAACCAAAACGACACAAAACAAAAGGCATACAGTCTACAACAATAGACAAGTGTATATACAATATGTCATACAGTCTACAACAATAGACAAGTGTATATACAATATGTCATACAGTCTACAACAATAGACAAGTGTATATACAATATGTCAGGTGCTAAATTGTCCCATTCATTGAAAAGATGAGAGATAACCATAGATCTGCTATAATAACCAAACCCCTAAATGACAAAAAATGCCTAGATTATCCTGACTTGCCGTTAAACTCATATGATAGACGATACACTGCTACACAGAGCTCGACATATTGCACAGACGCTTATATATTGGCGATGACCACATCTTTTAGCTAGATGCGACATTTCCATTATACAAAGAACAATTGAACACTTGGGCAATGGTTCATGATTTGCATTTCGAAAAATAATACCCTGTAGTTAGACTAGGTAGTTCAAAGTTTGAATAACAATAAAAAAATGTGGTATTGGTTTACTTTGTTGCTAATCATTTTCATTTGTGATTACATTTAATTAGCTGTAATAAGTTTAAAATCGTAGCATACATATATAAGTAGATTACATTTGGTCTTAATTTCCCATAGGCTGCATATCTTGGTCATTTAAATGCTTGTGTACTCGAAAAAAGTGTCCTAACGTTGGAATGCTAGCACACATTTGACAATTACCTCGCAAAATTAGAAAATGAATAAATGCTGTGACATTACAAAAAGCTAATTGGATACAACGCTTCATGCTGAAGTACTTGTTTTGTAAACATCAAGGTTATTTTTAAGTTTAAGTTTGATTCCTATAAATACAGATCCTATTCTGACCTAGCCAAGATTATCAAAATCCCTTGTATTCGACTATTAAAAAATATGTTAAGAACATTATAACTTTTAATCCACAAAATTAAAAAAATGTAGGCTAATTAAAAGTTTGTATTTTTGTAAAGTAGAAAATGATTGTCGACTGCACATGCAATCCGGGTGTTAATGGAGGCTGATGTCACATATATTTTTATTTAACTATGGGAAGCAACTTTTCGTCGGTTCCAGAAAGTAACCACAATAGAGAGAGCTTTGCTGCTAATTATCAAAGAGGGGTAAGTTTGCACATTATTAATAAAATTAATATATTTCATTTTACATACTACCGTTGTGAAAACAAGCTTTACGGTCACCATCACGAATTGGTTGACCGATACGATGTGTCGATACGACATGTTTTCGCGGTTGTAGATCTTAGATCAGTATAGTCGTTTGATCTTTAATGTAACCGATTATGTACGTCCTATTCCCGATTGTGATATTTTGAAGGAGTGTGAATTCTACTGGATAGCAGGAGACTCTTACCCTGTTGACGCACCCGATCTCGCTCCTTTTGGAATTCATGCGATTCCCGGAGTTTTTGTGTGTTTCCTTGATTTGTCTCTTTTTAATTTACGAGATTTGAACATCGGTAAACTACTGTCGCCTTACTTAGTCATAAAACACTATGCACTCGACAATTTTTGAAAATACTTCGAAGTTATTGTTACAAGCCATTAAGTCTTTATATTCGACTATTACTATAAAAGGAGAGCACTGACAGTGGGAAATCTAGTGACAAAATATTACAACCCTGTAAACACTGAAAAATCTTTACAATGTTTGTCCCGTTTTAGCAAGGACGCTTACAATTATGATATCACGAGGAAACATTCTGACAAATAGTAAAAATAAAAATAAATTGAAAAAAAACCAATTTCCATTTAGTGTTATCATTTCCCTCCTTAAATAACAAACGACGAGTACAGCAGTATATAGGAGCTTTGTGTTAAATTGGTATAAAATGTTGTTATGCGAATAAATTCCTTGAGTACCAACTTCAACTTATTTTTTTCTACTGGCTGTATACCTCTCTGGAACATGCCAATTATCCGTATATGTATGCAGCTGTTGGTTACCTAAATTTAAATTTTGTATGTGCATGATTTATTATCCAATTTTTTTTATCAATATGCAGCAAAGATTAACAATTTTTAGATTTCAGTTTCACAAGCTTCTAATGCAATTATCTCGATTAATAATGAACGCAAAACATCGCGTATTTGCATGTATAATTCTAATAACACATTCAAATAATTTCTTTAAATTAAACGATTGTTGTTTAGAAATAACGTTTCATCAGTATCGTCACCGGTATTGTTTTACTATTGATTTCTCAACTTTTTCTTAGAAAGAGTGATTTTTCTATTGTTATCGTTAATCGATTTTGCCACTACTTTAGCTAATACAGGACACATTACTCGAGTTGGTTGTTCCCTGCTCTCAATTTTCTAGTATTTATCTTCTTTCTATTGCTAATGAACTCCTAACAATCTTTCAGAAACGACTGCTGTCTGAATCTCACGCCAATGGAGGTCTCCGCCATATGCCATCTAGGAGAGGAACTTTTCCAAACACCGAAAGTACCGGAAAATTATCATCAACAGGAGACACGACTACTGATAGTCCACGCGCGTTACCAGCTAGGAGGGGAACATTAACGACAAATGATCAACCAAGACCTCTTCCACCTAAGTTAAAGAAAAAAGAGTTTTTGAAAAATATCAATTTTGCTGATATTGATCATATTGTGTCGGAGGTAACTAATATAAAACAGATACATTTTTGTTATGTCAAATAAAATAAGTTTTTCAATTTCTATTCCAAAATTTCGTAAAGCTAAGTTTGAACATTCCAGCAGGTCAGAGTGACGCTAAGGCTTAATTTACATTATCTCAAAATATCCCTTATGCATTTATTTAACGGTTTATGACTACCAGAATTAAGTGCGAATCAAAATAGATTGGTTGATTGATTGATTGTGGTGTTTGATGTCATTTGTAGCACTATTTGCTATTTCGTGGCAGCCAGTTTTTATTGGTGGAGGAAGCAGGAATGTCCGGAAAGAATCACTGCCCTTCGACAGGAAAATTGGCAATCCTAGTCAATCAAGATTGGAGTCGAACGCACCTGCTACATGCAGAGTTCTAACTACCAATCTCAGTATTGAAGCTATTTATACAGTAGACGAACTACTAAGACCACTCGGCCACCGAACCCCTGAATCAAAACAGAATTACAATCATATTTGAATGATTAGATATTAAACTTATTCCTTTTCAGGCACCCCTAGAGTTATTGACTAAAACGATGTGGGATGTTGTAGAATATTTAGTGATCACTCCAGATGGAAAACAGATTGATGATTTATTAAAAATACGTGCAATTTTTCGTTGGATGACATCATATGACGTGTACAGCATAGACTCAGAAATGATTCCTCCGACTGATTCACCATTAGAACACATGCTTAAAATACAGTGTGGCTTAATCTCACATGCTCAAATGTTTTATATGCTGTGTTTGTAAGTATCATTCATCTAAACTTGATAATCATTATTTTCATAAATGAAGCAACAATCTGTATCTCTCCCTTGTTAACTGGCACTTTCTTTATTAGTAGTATTAGATCAAGAATGAAACAAAACTTGTTAACTTCTATGTCATTTGGTCTCTGATGGAGAGTTGTCTTATTGGCAATTATACCACATCTTCTTATTTTTATATTTATACTTAATAAATTTCCTGCATCCGAAGCGCTTTTGGATTTAACTTCAACAGATACTCTCAAAGCCAAATATATTTGAAAGACAATGTTGTATAAGAACTGAACCAGTTGAAAAGCTTTATGACAAAGAGGACTTAAAAAATAATAGCCTCCAAGGTCAACTTTGCCCGAGGTAGTTGAAACCTTAGGTTTTTTTTTATTTAGGATAAATTATATAAAGCAGCAACGTCCTTCCGCTATTTCAATTGCAAGTTTTATTATTTAAGGTCGTTCTGGGATTTAAAAATGAAGTGTTCGTCTTGGATTTCAAAACAGTTGTTATACATTTCTGCTGAAATCAAAACTTTTATAAAGAAAGGGAGTTCATTTGGTCATAAGAAGAGAGAGTTTATATATATATATAATTGATTTATGTTCCCAGTTAATATTTCGCACATAACTTTAAAAATCAATATCTATAATACAACATTTTGTTGATATATTGCTTGTATAAAATTACATAATACTATCAGATATCAAGGGGTAGGGGAAGCCAATCTTTAATTTTATTTTAGCAAATTAATATTTCTGTATATACAAGATTACAGAATTTGTATGGCATAGAAATGTACAGGAAGACAAGATAGGCACACATAAATGTCTGTTTATAAACTGCTGCTTTTAATATACTTGTTGCTTTCAGAAACACGAATGAATTTATAGAAACATTCATTCTAAAATGTAAAAAAATTATCAACTTTCATCATTAAATTAGAAAGAATAGATTCCATGGTAAACAATGTTGAACTCAGACTTAAGCTGAAATGTAGATTATTAACATGCACACGTTTATTGTTTGTGATTCTGTGTGTTTGTAGACAGTTTCCTTTGGAAATTGATGCATACCTTATAAATACATTTGTTTATTTTAGGTTAGCAGACATTACATGCGTAATTATTAATGGTATTACGAAAGGTGAGCCATACAAAGTCGGGTGCGACATTAAGTGTGAGGAATTATACAGCCAGTGGAATGCCGTTTATGTAAAAGGTCAGTGGCAATTTGTGGATGTATTCTGGGCGTCAACATGCGTACTTGGCCGCAATAGCGATAATACAATATACATTAATTCAGATGGTAAAATTTCAAGAGAAGGGGACATCGATGAAATCGTGAAATATACTGAATTTTATTTCTTCTCTGACCCAAACGAACTTATTTATACACACTTCCCGGATGAAGAATTCTGGCAGTTACATCCAGTTCCGTTTAATTTTTCTAAATTCGAAAAGTCGCCATATTTACGAGAATATTTCCATATGTATGAAATGAGTATTGTTGAAAGAAGTTGTATTTTAAATAAAATTACAGCAGAAAAAGAGACAATAAATATTTCGTTCGCCCTTCCACCAAAAAGGAGTTCAAATTATATATTCAAGGTTATTCTAACCCAACAAAGAACACAAATTCAAACAAATAAACCAGTCGATATTTTACTAGAAAGGTTTGTGAGTGTGATTCACACACAAGATAAAGTAATATTCAAAGTAAGACTTCCGTTTTATGGGAAATATCAGTTCGATGTATATGGATGTGATTTCACCAAAGCAAACAATTTTTCATTAGTTTGTTCATACATGATAGACTGCATAGACCCCAAAGAACCATGTTTACCATTCCCGGATTTTCCAGAAGTAGGGTTTGGTAATAATCCGCATGCAAACAAATTGAATATCTACGCAATTTCACCAAAATCACCATTTGTAAGGACAGGGAACGGCGTAGTTGAATTTATCATTCATATTGATGCAAAATTGGAAATATCCCACATGCTCAAAAGCCTATTGATAGGTAGTGGTACTCTGAGCAGACATGTTGTTGCTAGAAGAGAAAAAGACAGATATATAGCAAATATAAAATTACCAAGAGAAGGCGAATATGCTATTAAGTTTTATATTGGTCAAACGGAAGAAAATATTACTCAAAATATACCAACTGATTTGCTGAATTTTGTAATCAAATTTAAAGGAGAGGAAAGACCATGTAACTTACCTTATCCGAATATTCCTGAGGGTCAACTAGGTGCAAAGTTAGATGCCATGTCACTAGGAGTGAAATGTTTGAGTAATACCGGAGACTCAATAAAAGCACCAGATGGAACAGCTTCATTTCATTTCCGGGCAGATGACTCAGTTGAACTGTTATGTGAGCTTTCTTGTTGTAAACGTGAGGGCAACAGTAGAGTATCAGTTGAAACAGAAGTAAATAATGGAGTATGGACATTTAACGTTGACATGCCGATTCCGGCAGAATATTCTATGAATGTATTTGCTTTCAAGAAAAATGATTATTCTAGATTGCACCAGATACACAGTTTCTTCATTCACTCCGACGGAAACATAATACGACGAGTGAGGTTTTCTGATGACAGTATCGTGGAAAATATAATATCAGACACAATAATTACTAGTAAACCTGACGTCGTTATTCCAATACCGAGTCCAACACAATATGAGACAATATTCACAACTATAAGTAAAACAGATGAGAAGATCTACGAAAATGAAAACGAAATAAAAGTGAAAACAAACAATGATTCAGTTGAAATACGTTTAAATGATTATGGCGAATACGTACTCGAGGTGTTCACTCATGATAAGTATGAGAATGCAATCTGCACGAGCGGAAGGTTTTACATACATTTCAAAAAGGATGAAGACATTTTTGAAGATGACTTCCAAGAACTCGTAAATACGCTTAAACCTATAGATGAAATAGAGCCTGTTGAAGAACCAATTCCGGACAGAAAAGATAGCGTATTCGAACAGGGTCAGTTTGAGGAGATCTGTAGTGAAGATTCCGACAGTGACAATGCTGAAGTTAATGAAGAACAAGAAATGGATGGCAATGAATCAGATACACAGAGAAGTTTTGATGAAGATATCACGTCTGTCTCCTTAACGGAAGATGGAATAAAATCTGTAGCTTTGACGGAAGATACAGATTTACAGGAAGACATGGATGAAATGGAAGAAATGGCAAAAGAAAAATTTAAGCAAGGTAGCCTAAAATAAGGGTGTTAGCATATGAAACAAAAATATGTAGTCACAAATTTCAGGAGAATAATTATTATTGTAATCACTATTTTAAAACAGAGTGAATCCTCTTTATCGGGACAATGGTCGGTATAAACATACACTTCCGATTTGATTTAAAAGATTTCCAAGACGCTTCAAACAAAACTTATTTAAAAAACCAACGGTAGTATAACCTTAGAATTCAACAAAAATGACCGAACATCACTTTCTTTACATATGTATCTCTGTATTAAAATTGCACGGTTCTATGTCAACCTAAAAGGTAATGACAGTTTCTTTTATGATCTGCATAATTTACTGCTTTCGTCTAATTATATATTTTTGCCTTCCAAAAAGTAAAATAACAAAAATACCGAACTCCAAGGAAAATTCAAAACGGGAAGTCCCTAATCAAATGGCAAAATCAAAAGCTCAAACACATCAAACGATTGGATAACAACTGTCATATTCTTGACTAGGTACAGTCCAAACAATAGGTTCTTGACGTTCCCATTAAAGGTAAGTCAGGAATGCGATTCAATAAATTCAAATTATTCATTTTTCACTTAAAACACAGAGAAATCAAGATGCGGGATTGTGCAATATATTGCATTTGTTTAAACTGGTTAACATTAATCCTTTCAGTAAAAGAAAAATCTATTAAGAAGAATATGGCAAAGGCATTGAAATCAAAAGATCTGAAACAAATGAAGACACAACTTAAGCGTTTCAAACAGTTTGACCTTGACCCCGAGGATAAGATGGTAGCATATGTACAGAAAGTAGTAAAAGAGCTCACGGTTAAGGAAAGTAAGTGCTTGGTTTTTGTATCAGTTTACGAGTACAAAAAAAGATAGAATTAATAAATGACACTCTTTTCTTATTCAGGTAGAAATGAGAAGTCAACACTGTCCATATACATCTTAAATTTATAGAAGCAAAAATGTAACGCGTTCTGAAAATTCAAATATTCTATTGGTATTTCATCGAAGTAAATGTATTGATATGTTATTTTATAGAAATGACAGAAGCATGTCGTCGAAGAAATCCTAAAACAATTCAGAAATATATTCGTGAAGCAAAGGAGGCAAATTTTGATCATCGACTAGACATGCAAATTAAACTGTCAAAAAAGATTCTTGACAGAGTAACAAAATTGGAAAAATTGATGAAGCCGTTGTTAAAAATGAATCAAAACATGCTGACAGAAATGAAAAAATATCAGACACCACCTGAAAGTGTTCATCAGATTCTTAAAGCCACTGGTATACTACTTGGAGATGATCCTAAGAAACTACAGGTACAATCATATATTTTTCACATGTAAGGCCGTACTTTGACCTATAATGGTTTACTTTTACAATATTGTGACTTGGATGGAGAGTTGTCTCATTGGCACTCATAACACATCTTCTTATATCTATTTACAGTATTTTTCATAAAACATTAAGTGTAAAATTGCTGTCCAGAGGAAAAACCCTTTCTTGAATAGCCAGTCTCTTTCTTTTGAATATTTTTAAACGCACTCCCTTATTCATCCAACTATATCGCTAATTAAAACCTTTTTGTATAATCCCTTTTCTTTGTTTTGAACAATTTTCAATGATTTTTTTTATTTGTTTTCTATAGCATAATGCTTACTGTCTTCCCATATTTATTATAAACATTGATTATTATTAAAAAAGTTATTTTTATCTGTCTACAGACATGGAAGAACTGCCAGGGTTTTCTTTTTAAAACCGGTAAAGAAAATGTAATGAGGAGAGTGTCTCAGTTTGATATAAACTCAACGTCACCGGCCATGATTAATAAAATTAGCAGCATACTCAAACCATATAATCTCGTACAGATACGTGACGCCAGTATAGGTGCTGCTGCATTCTATCTTTGGGTAAGAAATGAGTGTTATTTAAGAAAGAAAGCAGAATAATTATCTTAATTGAAGAAAGCATAACAACTACTGTTGGCTCTTGCTTAATTTATGTAATGGATTTATGCGATTTTGAAAGCCTGACTGAAAACTTTAAAAAGAACAATTTCTTAAAAAGACATGAACTTAAAAAAACGGAAAAAAAACAATGCAAAGAATAAAAAAGAGGTGGAAGATACAAAAGGGAGAATTAAAACTGATAAGTCTAAGAAAATTAAAACAATCTCGTAAAAAAACGAACAACACACGACGAAAAGACACAGTCTACGAGATACTACATAAAAACTAAAGACAGATCATCAATAATCCGATTAAAACACCAAGGATGATATTAGGTGATTATACCACATCTTCTTTTTTTTATATGAAGCAAAGCACGTGACAAATGCTTGAAATTTGAATAAGGTCCACGTATTTGGAAAGGAATATTATTGCCTGCAAATGATTTGAAACTGAATACGATCTTGTACACTGAGTTCTATAAAGCTTTATTCACTAATATTACTATGCTGCTAGAATTTATATAGAGTTCAATATTTTGGACAGTTCAGAAGGTAACTTGACGAGATTTAAATCTGTTGTCAATGATGGGACTTAGAGGTCGCACTATGATTTTCTTGGGCAGTTGTAATGATTTATCGATCGTAAAAAATCGTTTGACTCTTTAAAAAACGAGTATTTGTATGTTTAAATGCTCCATATTTTTTAATATTAAAATTCATATGCTGTTGGGAAGTCCATCAACGAACATTCAAGAGTTAGAATGAACAGTGAATAACACGTTTTATGTACATTTTCCATTATTGCAACAGATCACTGGTATCTTGAAAGAGACAAAGAAACGACATGTTAATAAAAATAAAGACATGCTACCAAGATCCTCCAGACCAAGGCCTGCAACGATGTCAGTTCACGGCGGTAGCTTCCTAGTTAGAATATAAATAGATTAGAAACCACAAATGACAGATTCAAATCATTCTATTAAGCATGATGTGGTAAAATCGACTCAGCTGGATGAACCAATATAATATAGAAACACTTCTTGAGAGCGTTTAAAGCTCTTTTATATATGTTTTATATGTGTTTGAAAATATTTTGTATGAATGACATTATTTAGTCTTGTTTATTAATGCTAAGATTAGGAAGAACCTGATTAAATTTTATGAAAATAAAGCAGATAGCAAAAAATGAAAACAACACGTTATTAATTTCATGCGTCCGACGCGCTTTTCTGGATCTACCTTCGTCAGGAACGCTCAAAGCCGAATATTTGAAAGCCGAGGATGTATAAAAACCGAAATAGTTGAAGAGCTATTTGACCAAAAAGTACCTAAAATAGCCAAATTCATCTAAGGTCAACTTTGCCTAAGGGAGTTGACACCTTTGTTGACAATTTTAGAAATCATGTCAGTGCCGAATCGAAGTACTGACTACTGAGCTGATGATACCCTCGGGGATTGATAGTCCACCAGCAGAGATATAACGCGGAACTGTAAGACCAAACTACAAAAATTTATATGTGTAGTCATTTTCTCGTACATACTATTATTTTATAAACTGAATTTTTAAAGTGCTTTGATGAAGTAGCCTCATTTAGGTTCTCTTTAAACACATAACACTACACGGGAAACACAAAACCAAAAGGGCAGTAAAATGGCCTTATATTATTTGTTATAGTGTTCTTTTTCTTTTTCTTTGTATATTTTTAACCTTTACTGTTCAGTCCATTTGTGGTATATTCTTTTGGAGTGGCTAGGTATTTATACATCCCGCCATTGTGTTATTGTGCTATGGTCATTTTTTGTATTCTTGTCTTTCAATTTTGCTTATGTACTTTGTCTATAGAGTGTCTTTATGCCATTTTTATTTTCTTTGTTGAATTAGTTATTTGCTTTTATAGTGATTAAGATTATAACACAATGTTGACTGCTGTACCCCAATTTTTGACATTTTTACCTATTATGTCTGTTTGTTTTGTTCACACATTTTTGTCAATATAATGGAATTTTTTATGACTGTCATACAAGTGAGAGGTTTAGCTAGCTATGAAACCAGGTTTAATCCACCATTTTCTACATAAGGAAATGCCCGAACCAAGTCAGGAATATGACAGTTGTTTTCCATTCGTTTGATGTGTTTGAGCTTTTCATTTTGCCATTTGATAAAGGACTTTCCGTTTTGAATTTCCTAGGAGTTCGATATTTTTGTTATTTTACTTTTATGTATACAGTCAACGTTATTTAATGAGAGTTTGAACTTAAGTATCTATGAAAAATGAATTGCATCAGGCAAGATTTTAACCAAAAGTTTGGAATGGAAATATTATTTACATGAGCTAACAGTTCCACGGTATACAAAGAAATAACATTTCAAAAGAACATAACTAATGTTCTAAACTTCAACCTGAAAGCTGCAACAAGACCTTCAATCATCCATTCATGATTGCACATCACCCTAATCGAAAGATCAATTAGAAAAACAGTAGTTTACCAATGTTCTAATCTCATAAATCCATTAACAAGATACATCAAAAACAATTACAGAATTGGATGAACCCCAAAATGAGCGATCCCGCGTGCATCGACAGGGTAGATAAAGTCTTCTACTATGCATACAGCATCCGCCATGCGAATCCACATTCGGTACTGATTTCTAACAGATCAGACAACTACTATGGTATCTTAAGATCAAGACCGCTAAAACATGTCGAAAGTGAATTAATTTAAGTCGACAGTAGTTTACCGATGTTCAAATCTCGTAAGTCAATTAGGAAGTGACAAACGGAGCGATACCGGATGCGTTGACAGGGTTAGCGTCTCCTGCTTAGACATATACACATGGTGACCTTAAAATATTTGTTGTATGGATGTCAGTCGTTTTTCCTCATAACTATGTTTGGGTAGGATGTTTTTGCTTTTGCGAAGGAGCACATCCCTTATAATGAAGTCCGTACAGTATGAACAAGCCCGAGCGTAACATTTTAATTAAGAGATGTGTACACCATATATTGGAGCAGAGGGTATGTTACTACTGACATGTGGGAAGTTGACAATAAGAAATTTGTTGAAATCGTCACGTTTGTCATAGATTCTAGTTTTAATTCGTCCATATGGGTCAATATCGTGGAAAAGATCAAGATATGAAGCACACCTTCTTGTTTCGATTGTATATTCATCTCAAGTTCACTAGGATATATGCACTTACTGAAATGTAAGTTACTGAGTGGCAAGACATATTTAAATATCTTAAAGTGCCATTGAAGAACGTTACAAGACTCTTTTCTTTTGTATATGTGAAGGTTCTGTATGCATTCTGCTACACACGAGTACAAAAATAAGTCGGCTGTAGGGGTGCACAATCAGTACCCACTGGAATATCAACTGTCTGTTGGAATATTAATCCACTAAACTCAACAAATGTGTTGTCGATCAAAACGTCAGGCATCTTCCGTGAATTTGTTGTTGGGATCCGTGTCAAAATTTTTTTATGACCAAAGAAGTTGTAGAAAGAACACTGTTTAATAAGACGATGTAATCGATAAGTCAATTGAACATTGAGAGTAAAAGTATATAGAGTAGAAAATTAAAAGTTTTGATATGAAGTAGATCGAATTAAGCGGTACTCTTTGGTATTCATCAATAACCGTTACTTACAATTTGTCCCTGAGAAAACCTGTGGACTGAATTATTTTTTTTTACCATTATATGCCTAAATTGAACAAAAACAAAGTTCCGTAATCAGGAAAATGACATCTTGAGCAAACAGTTCTTCACTGGAAATGATAAGTACACAATTTATTTCATTGACAAGCTTATGAGGTAAATGTCAGTCATAAATTATAATAGAAGGGTAGGGACAGTGGATGACTGTGGACAATAGGTCTAGGAAATTGTCAGACGAATAGTGCTTTCATAGCTGTTGAAATGTCTTCAACAATGATTAAGTTCACATCTGATTTTAATTTTCATCAATAATCGCTTTCATATAACATTGAATAATCAAGAAATTGCATGCTAACGGCAAGTTATAAATAAAGGCAACAGTAGTATACCGCTGTTCAAAAGTCATAAATGGATTGAGAGAAAATAAATCCGGGTTACAAACTAAAACCGAGGAAACACGTCAACTGTAAGAGGAAAACAACGGAACAACAGAAACACTGAAGTGCAACAATAACAAACCTATCAACTGTGTGTTGTGTGATGTATATATTTCTTGGTTTCGTCCAGTTGTCTTTGTCTAGTCAAATACTAGTACCATAGAAAAATGTATCATCAAATATTAAGAAAAGGAAAAGTGATTGCTAACAAATTATAATTGTAATTAATGAACACAGATATATTGATCATTTGAATAAACTTATTCTGAAAGGTTATCAATCGAACAATGTGGTAATACCTTTTAATATTGTCTTCATCGTTACTAACATTAAATTTGTTTTTAATTAATTAAAACAACTAAATATGTATGGGAAGAACACTTTTGACATTGCAGAAGGCCATTCTTTTCTTTGACGTCTTTACACTAAATCCACTGAATGTGTAATGATTGAAATGATTGAAATGTTAGTCTGGGAAACATGGTTTATTAATTAGTTGAAATTGGCTTTGAACTGGCTTTAAGTACATGTGGGTACCTTGTGTTTTTGTTAGCTTTTTTATTTGCAGATCTGATGAATCAAGCCATTTCAAACGTTACACCATCATTCAAGAAATGGGGAGGGTTGATCATGAGCGCTCACAAACATGTTGTTTTGTCCATTATTGAAGGCCGTGCAGTGTCCTATAGTTGTTTACATCATCGTCCTTTCGTCTCTATTACTAGTAGATAGTTTTCTCATTGGCAATTAAATTACATTTCCTTAATATAGATTTCAATTGTTGCTTTATTGTGTTTACGTAACCCTAAATATCCCCTGTTATTGATATATGTCAATATTTATTGAAAATGTATGTTCATAATATATGAAAAAAATCTCATCAAAGATTTAGTAAGCTACAAAAGACTAATCAATAATGCTTAAATAAAAAATCTAAATGCCAAATAAAGTACGAAGTTGAAGAGCAATGAGAACGAAAAATTCCGAAAGGTTTTACCAAATACAGCTAATGTATAAACATAAAACTAAGAAGATATTGTATGATTGCCAATGAGACAACTCTCCACCCGAGATCAAACGACATAAGTAAGGTAGTCTATTTCTTGGGAAGAAAATTCTTAGTATTTTTAAACCAATAATTTATAAAAAAAAAAATATATTTCATAAATGACAAAATATACAAAATTTTGAAACGACAAATATTCCGAATTACTATTGTTTGTCTATTTGTCTTTTCTTTTTTAGCTATGGCGTTGTCAGTTTATTTTCGACGTATGAGTTTGAATGTACCTTTGGTATCTTTTGCCTTTCTTTTATAAAAAAACATAAATTCCTATATTACTTCCTTAAGCAACTGAAAACAAAAATATTTTATTCTATTAAATTTTTATGTGTTTTACAATAACTTATAAGTTTTGAAATGATCGTTTTGAAATATCTATTTAAACTGAAATGCATTGATAAATGTAGACGGAATGTTTTGTTCAAATGAAAATAACTGTCAATTGGACCTCTGCAATGTAAGAAAATCATGTTTGTATGATGCACTGGGCAAACTTATTAAAAAAAGTTAACATTTGAACTTTATCAAGGGTTTATTTGTTGATTTGTTTTAATTTTGTAAACCAAGATTTCATAAGACAAAACAGGTTTCTTTTTATTAAGTTTCGTGTTAGCATGAACATATATCGTTCCGTCAACAATCACTCAAAACATAAAAAAGATGAAATTTCTGGGATATTGTATATTAATTATTAGTCAAATTTGAACGAATATTCAGAATCCCCTGCTAATGTATTAGTAGACTTCTAGAATGTATATAAAACTAAAACTAATTATTTTGAAAAATATCGGACAATCTTTAATACCAATACCTATTGTCAAATGTCTTTTTATTGACACCTGATCTAACAATAAGAGATAAGGTGCTTAACTTACATTCACTTCAATAATTACAGAAAAATAGGGTAAAATATCATTGACATTACTTATATCTAACTTAGTCACACTATTTATGTTAAACTCACTTCATAACCGTATATGCACTATTCAAAAAATATATATCGCTGTAGTATCATGCATTTAACGAAAGGAGAAGTAACTTTTAAACTTAGAAGTGTAATAGAAAAATAAAGACTTAAATAACAGATCACTAATTTTAAAATGGGAAATATAGGAGGTAAAAGGCCTAAATCGTCAGGTTCATATCAAGTAAGTATTTTAAGCGATTGATTTTCTTTATAGGGTTTCTTTCTGACGTTTTTAGTATTTTTCATACACTCAACTTTATAGTTTAAGACATATTTTTGTCGAATATATCGAAAAACCAGAATTTTATGTACATTCATAATACCAGACTGGTACGAAAACTGACGACAATTTTATCAGAAAACATCTTTTTTAAAATGTCAGAGTTTTAGAAACAATAAAAAGCTTCAAAAAAGAAAAGAAAACAGTTTAAATGTTAAATAAATATCCAAAAAGGATAAAACAAAATATGCTTAAAAAGACAAGTATGTTAGAAAAGACAAAAGAAAACAAATAAAGATTTAAAAGATATTATGCAAAACACTAGACTGATCAACATTAACACCGCCAAAAATCGAGGATATTCCCAAAGAGTAATTCATAACTCATGCAACACCATCGCTTTTTTTCTCACGTTACAACAGCGAGCAAGTGGTATTGGATGATAAAATTAAGTCTCGATTCGGAAAATAAAAACATAATTAACAAAACTGTATATATATTTTCGTCAATTAATTATATTATACTTCTTTTTAATACTGTAAAGTATGAAATTTATATAAATCCGTTAGATAGCCCACAAAAGGCTACTGTAGCGGTTTTATATTATCCAAATTTTAGTCCAGATTTATTGGAGGTGAAAGTACAACGCAAAAATTAAATCAGTCGAGCATGAAATATAGTTCATAGGAACTAGAAACTATAATCAAAATTTTTTTGAACAGGTTTCTGGCTAATGAACGTACAACGCAAGAATTAGATAAATTGAGCATGAAATTTGGTCATAGTAGCCTTGAAATTGCATAAGAAGTTTGTCGTTTATATGAAGACGATAGCAGTGACATATCATTGATATATCACCACATATTTCAGTAAATGGAATTAAACATACAATTTTTTTAGCCTGAAATACAGTTGATATTAACCTAAATACTGCATAACAGAACTGTACTGTAAAACAAACCCGAAGTGATGAAATGCCTGTTTATGAAATATCTAAAATGAAGTGCCCTAGCATTTCAGATCCACTGACACCCGTTAACATCGTAGTCTGGAGGCTAGTGGTATATTAGTATGCAAGAACAGTAGAAGCAATGAAATCAAGAATCCTAGTTTTGAGTCGCTCCCCTTTCTGTTACTAAGGAGATCTAGATATGATGCATCCTTTTTTCAGCTTGTAGCAGGTGGGACATTAAAACAACCAGACTCGAAAAGACCGTGGCTAGGTGATGGTTCTAAAATATCAATGCATTTTTTTGGTATTTGTAAATAGTGTTAAAGTTCAGTGGAAGTAAGAGACATACATATAAGACAATAGCACCTACCAAACTTAGGATTTTTCATCAGTTTCTAGAAACTGTGTCTTGCAACAGAGCATAATATAAGTAATTTGTTTTTATCTTTGTTAGTTAGCAGATGTTTTCCACCATGACCGTGGTACTTACAGATCTGAAGAAGTACCACCGCCCGTACCCACAACTATGTCAAAACAACAACTTTTGTGGAATGTAGATTTCACAAACATTGATCGTAAAGCTCTGAATGTAAGTAATGCATTTACAAATGTGTAAGAAGCGATTTTGATTTTTGCTTTTTTTGGTGTTTCACGCAACTTTCCGAACTGTTGGCTATTTCGTGGCGGTGGAGGAAGCCGGAATGCCCGGAGAGAACTAACTACCATCGGCAGGGACATTGGCAATCTTAGTCAATTAAGATTGAAGTCAAACGCACCTGGAACGTGGGGTTCGAACTCATAACCTCAGTTTTGAAGGGCTAGAAGTGAACACGACACATATGAACCATTGAATATATGTACTGCGGTCCTGTCTTTTGTCCTGAAAAGTTCTTACCTTATCGATACTGTAAGCCTTAAATTTTTTTATTTCATTGTGGTATGAAGGATCAATATTTTAGTAACAATATTTTTGTAACGAGATTCAATGAAACTATCACATAATGTTATTATTTATTTTAGTACAGTATATTAAAATATCTTACAGGTATCCCCAGATCTTTTGATGGAAACGTTTTGGGACATTGTGGAACACATCATAGTTAAGAAATCATTTGAATATATAGACGAGGTACTGAGAGTTCGTGCTATATTTAGATGGATGACGTCATTTGATACAGAAAGGATAGAAATTGATATGCTGCCACCAGAGGAGTCACCAATTGATTATCTCATGAACATACAGCAAGATTTTGGAGACCACTGCCATCTGTTTTATGCTCTTTGCCAGTAAGAGTGTTAAGTATAAATTAGTTTCGTAGTCACGGTTAATGTCCCCTAGAATGAAGGAACACGCATCGGTTTAAGATTCATGCTATAAAACCCGAATAAAAATCACCAGTCCTACGGACCACGTACTATAAAGAAGCCACCCGAAAGCTAATGTTAACTTTGAGCAATCCAAACACATATCACATAACAAGAAATCGGGAAACAAACAAACCCTCAAGATAATAACCGGCAAAATGCAGCAGAAAATGTGGTTAAATAGCGGCTGATGTTTTGTCACTACAATACATACCTTAAAGGATAACAATCAAATGCCCTTTTATAGTAGCATTCTTTGACCAAATATTATTTTATATAAATATAGTTCCTTCTTTTCTTCTAGAATAGCGAATATTCCTTGTGTAATCATTAATGGTATGACAAAGAACATGTTATATGTAATTGGCGATGAACCCGATAGAGAACTACTTGAATCGAGATGGAATGCTGTCTACATCAAGGGCCAATGGCGTCTGATTGATCCTTATTGGGCATACTCGTGTATTGAGGAAGGTGAATATGACGACAAAATTTCAATTGATGATAAAAGCAAGATCAAAAGGGCAGGTGTTGGGAAACCACCTAGACCTGTAAATGAATTCTATTTTTTACCTGATCCGAATGAATTCATTCTCACTCATTTCCCAGATGACCCGGAATGGCAACTACAGGAAAATAGGTGGACATTAAAACAGTGGCAGAATTCTCCATATATTCGGGAACACTTCCATATGATGGGAATGAACACTAACACAAAATTAAAATCAGATATGTGCATGATAACGGCAAAAAATGATCCAATCAGTATGGCTTTTAATCTTCCAGAAGGTAAAAGTCATCAATACAGGTTTTCGCATAATTTAGTTTTGATAAAGTCTGAACACAGTTCTGAGGGGAAAAGTTTACGACATTTTGTAATGTTTGAACATTCTAGAAACAAATTAAGCTATACAGTCAGAGTTCCTTTTCCAGGTACATACCGCTTGGATATATACGGGAAAGATCTAGCCATAGATAAGCTGTATCACCTCCTATGTTCATACGGAATTAAATGTATACGAACAGATGACATTAAAGTAGATGAGTATCCTGATTGTCCTCGGTTAGGTTGGGGTCCAAATGCATATATGCTACAGGTGGGAGTTACACCAACCCCCTTGGAATCCACCATAGAGACCGTAATAGGTGAGGTCAATATCATAGTCCCAACGAAAAATCTTCATTCTATAAATCATCAACTGAAGTGCAGAACAATGAGTGATGCTAAGCTCAGTCGATTTACAACGGGAAGGTTTGAAAAAAGAAAATATGTTATACACGTCAAAGTTCCATTTGATGGAGAATTTGCTCTGAAAATATTTGGAAAGTTGAAATACGAACCAAAAGACAGTGTTCTCATTAATATACTTACTTTTCTTATTAATGGTAAAACTTTGAAAGATAAAGTAATACAGCCATTACCTGCAGTACTGGGTGACCACTTAGGCGTGCAGGACAGTTCTAAACATATTGGTGTTACTATACCAGGTGTACATCAGATGGAAATAGGCTCTGTTAACGGGCATCTAAATTCAAATGTCAGAACAGAAAGCAATACCGGTGAACAAAAGAAAAGAGAGAATGATCAAAATACTAAAGGTGGGGCAAATGGAATGAATGCTAGACTCGATACAAATAAAAATATAATGGTCGTAGCTAAGCTTGGAAATACTGAAGGTGCTAGTGTTAATGGAAAAAATAAAAGTAATGCTACGGAAGGAAATCAAAGTGGTGATAGTTTGAGGGAGGAGAAAAACGACAAGGGGTTCATTAGTGCAGATGAAATAGCAAGTGGGCAGATAGTTGCACATGAAGGAATAATAAAGCTAAAGTTTAAAACAGAAGCTGGTGTTAAACTTTACCAAGAATTGTGTAGTATCGATGATGAATCATCCAAGATGATGACTTGTAAAAAATATTTTGATGGCGATGGAAACTGGATATTTGAGCTGGACATGCCTATTTCGGGACAGTACTCGTTTAATTTGATTGGAAAAAATTCTGACAATAAAACTAAGCCAATATATAGTTGTCTAATTACGTCATCAGGTCATCCATTCCCTTCAATGCTAAAAGCAACTAACGAAAGGAAGCATACGTCAATAAAGCACGAGACCATTGTGACACAGGAACCCTCAATTACGGTTCCCGCCATCTCAAGCACCAGAGAAATATTAACATCACTACGGAGTAATACTGTTCCTCTAGATCAATTAAGTAAAGTTGCCAGAGTTATCAAACAAGAACACGATTTGGCCGTTCATTTGAAACTGCCAGGCGAGTTTATGCTGGATATATTCAAATACCATTCAGAGGAAGGTTTGACTACCTTAGCCAGGTACTTTATTGTCAGAAAATTTAATCCTGCTATTGATCAAAATGATTGGGAATGCATGTCTTTGAATGCTTTGTTTGACGACGACGAGGAAGATGATTCAAATAACTTGTACAGCAGACCCGTTACAAAATCCAACAAAGTGAGATTTAAAGGTTTGTATGAACTGATATAAAAAATAACCTGTGAAAGTTAGATGAGAATAATTGAGGTGGTAGGCCGCCTTGAACTTACAGTAAGGCGTTAGCGCGTTTGCGCATTGGTGATAGCAATGTTCCCTTTGATTTTGATTTTATCACGTGTTTGTGCCTACATTTTGTCATAAATTAATGTCCATATTCATCAGGACAGGTGACAGAATCTATACATTTATTCAATCCTCTGTCTAATATTCTTTTCAATACTCCTTACCATACGTCTGCGATTGGAAAACGTTATATTTAAATGTACATGTACTCAATTTAAATTATCTTGCTACTGTGCTTTGATATGAACTGTTCATGGTAATTTTTCAAAGTTACAGGGGAGACAATATGTCGTTTCTAATAATTGAAAACAACACGTAATTAATTTCATTTCTTGATTTCACTAAAGTGAAATTTAATTTTTTCGCGACGTCAAACTGTGACATATTGAGAACAGATGCATTTTTTGACTGATTTCAATCATTAGCTTGAAAACAAGTACATCGACCCCTCTTCTTTTACTTGACATTTGGCGGGATTATGTATGAAGATTATTTGTGCCAATATTTATGAACAAATCACCGATGATTTGTTTTTAAATTAGATAGATATACAGCAATAAATCCCGTTCTTTTCACAAATTCAGAGCAGTTTTTACAAAAACTAGTGTTTATCTTTTGAAATAAAAAAAGTTAGGTATGTCTGTCCAAATTAAGAAATGTTATAAAAAACCGAAATTTTGAGTAAATGTCTAAATTTTCGACCCCATTTATCTCTAAAAGTAGCACAAGAAGGTATATTTTCTATTACATATTTGAATTGACTAGGTGAAAAATAGCTTATATGCAAAATTTCGTCAAAAAATCACGGTGGGAGCAAAACTGTATCGTATGCCCTTAAGGGGACATTTGATTTTCATGATGGGGAGGGGCAGGAGGATTTTGGAAATGAATATCTTGCCCTAGTAGTAGGAACAGATAAAAAAAACCTGAAAAATATAATCTTGCCTTTAGATGTTAAGAAAGTACTAAAAGAAATGTACTTTCTGTACATCTAAAGGCAAGATTATATTTGTGTTTCTGTTTGATTTTGTTGTTGTTTGTATCGATCTGATTTTTATAGTTTTATCTTATGTTGTGCTGTTACACCACTGTCCTATTGGGCGCCCGAAAACGTGTTTAACCCCGCCACATTAAATGAATATTCTGACCACCAAATAAGATCGATCTTGTACCTGAAGAGTTGCATATATATATACGGAACAAGTGTTTTTTTTTTTAAAAACATTAGCAAAGTTAATTTTTACTATAAAGTAAAATCACTCTCTTAAAATCTCTACCGTGGCTTAGAATATATATCTCAAACTTGATCGATTTATTTTCAGATTCAAAAGGGACCATAACTTATAACATTAAACAAGCCATAAGTCAGAAAGATCTGGACAAATTAATATCATACATGAAGGTATATGACATCACTAGACCATTAACAACTGATCCACTGTCATTGAAAGCCAATCAGATGATTATGTTTCTTCAAGCTCAAAAATGTAATATATAAACTTACAAATCATTTCTAGAAACATATTGATTTACACAAAGTGTATTTCGTACATGAGAAATCAGAAGTTATTCATTAGTATTTCACATGTTTTTAAACGGATAAAAAGTATTGTCATCATCATATTATTTAATATTTTCTGATTTAAATATGATAAAAACGTCAACAATAATATATAGCATTAAAACATCACGTGTAGAAAACGTTTGATATGATTACCGTGTGGAGTAAAATCTTAGACTTTAAGCTCGAGGAATTAGGACTTCCACATATTTTTCTTTAAAAAGCGACAGTTTTGCAGACATTACACACGTATATATTTAAACAATAATGATGACGAGTAAGTCCGGAATAACACATGTTTATCACTTTAAACAATTATCATAGCTATTTAGTGAATATTTGTATGTATTATCATAGCTATTTAGTGAATATTTGTATGTATAATCATAGCTATTTAGTGAATATTTGTATGTGGAAACTGTGTAACGTATTAGAAAAAATACAAGTTTCGAATATTGATTTGTTGCACGCCAGTGACGCATTTGGAAGATTTATTAATTGTTGGAGGAGGTCGAAAATAAATATTTGAAATCCTGAAGTATCAAAAGTGAAACCCAATTGAAGATGACCTTTGATTATAACAAATTTCACATCATGTTTAAACTAAAATTATCCCAAGTTACAATATCAGAAACAGAAAACCTCATGTTTCTATACAATATTCCTATTTAATATTTCAAGCTTTTGAATTCAATTGATCATACAGAATCTTCATATCCGAAAATGTAAAGAGGCAGCAACTGAACGACATAAAAACCCCAATAGACAACTAGAGGTCAACAAACGATCTTCAACAATAGACAAGTGGCAATATTTCAAGCTTTTACACCCTGAGTATAAAACGTTGTGAATACATTTACTACAGACCATCAAAAGCCTTCTGACAACACACCAATTTCCAAAACGACTTGTAAAAAAAAAGCCTCAATACAGGAAGCGCTAAACTTTATAATGGCGATTTTAAAGATAACAAAAGCATCAGTACAAATAAAATAATTATGAACGATACTGCATCGAAGAAGTCACTAAGAGCAATCAATCTTAAAGTGCTTGGCCTACTGATTTTATACAGCAACCGTTGTGCAATGCCCAGAATTTTATATAGCATTTCAGAGCAAAAACAAATACAAAAGATACTTAAAATCTGACTTCAAACTATAATAAATTAAAACCAAAATCAATGATAGAACAACAGCATACACATAGCATTTTATCAAAAAAATCTATTAGCAAAAGAAAGTACTTTCAAGGTAAATCCTAAACTTGTTAGTTTGATGAATAATATTACTAATTAAAGCCTAAAAATCTATCTATAGATTTAGACAGAGCTTGTCAATCAAGGAAAGAAAGTATTTTAGAAGATGCTGTGGAACAAGCAAAGAAAGCTGGGCTTACTCGAAGACTTAACTCAAAGATCGTTATAGCAACCAGAATTCTTGAAAGAATTTACAAAATAGATAAAGTATCTAAAATTGTGTCCAGGATTGATCAAAGGTCCCTAGCCGAGCTAAAAATGTATCAGACACCACCTAATGGTGTTCATCAGACCCTGGTAGCTGCCTCGCTTTTGTTAGGCTATGGACTAGATGAGGTCAAGGTATGGTATAGTTTTCTGCATAAAAACAAGCTTGTGAATAATTAAGTCACGGATTTCGTTACCACAAACTACTTTAAACATTTACTAAATTCTTACATAGATATAAAGATTGGGTTTGGAAATTTTAATGTACCTCTAGAAAATTTATTAAAAACGGGATAGCACGTGCTTATTTTTACGGTTATATTCTGAGCCCGTAAATTTTCATACGATCCGGGTAAACTTATCGATCCTTTAAATCAACTTATCCTAAAAGGTTACCAATATATTACACTGTCATTAGATGTACAGAAAGTACTATAAGAAATGTACTTTATGTCTTTTGTGTTCTTGTTTGTTTTTTTAGTTGTTTGTATCGATCTGATTTTTATAGTTTGATCTTATGTTGTGCTGTTACACCAATGTCCTCTGTTAGTTGGAGGATTGGCCGCGCGAAAACATGTTTAACCCCGCCCGCCACATTCTGTATCTGCCTGTCGCAAATCAGGAGCATGTAATTCAGTGGTTGCCATTGTTGCTGTATATCATATTTGGTTTCGTTTATTGTTTTTTACATAAATAAGGCCGTATTTGTATTTTGTTTGAATAGCTTTAAATTTTCATTAAAGGGCCTTTTATAGCTTGCTGTGCGGTATGGGTTTTGCTCATTGTTGAAGGCCGCATGATGACATATTGTTACTTACTTTTACGTCATTTAGTCTCTGGGGGAGGGTTGTCTCATTGACAATCATATCCCATCACCACAGTGACACCATATATTAAATTTCCCTCCACTTATGTAGCGAAATTGATCGATGAATGAAATTATCCTATTTTAGAAAGAATTGAAGACTTTTACTTTGTTACATCGTAATGGCAAAATAACAAATCCTTTCATTCTGCCTCCTTTACATTTCTGTATCTTTTTTTGGTGTTAAAATTTAGTATCTCATATTGGTTTTGAAGTAAAAATTATTTACAAATGTTAGTAATATCTTTTAAGTGTATTTGTTTTTATCACAAATAAATTACCTTGTACTTTTGATTTAGAAGGTTAAAGTATTTTGTATGCCTAAATAGGATTGGAGGACCTGCAAATCGTTATTGTTTAAATCAGGAAAAGACAACCTTAAGAAAAGAATGGAACAGTTTGACTATAGGTCAGTTAGCAATGCTATCCTAAATGCCGTGAAGACAATATTAGAACCGTACAAAGCTTGGCAAGTCAGGGATGTCAGTAAAGGAGCAGCAACCGTATTTCTTTGGGTAACTTTACGACAAAAATTTTAACTACGATCATGTTGACTTTACTTTATTGTAAATCTTATGTTGCTGGCCATTGTTGCTGCTTACAGTTTCTTCTATCATATATATAAAAAGTTCATGTTCGGTATCAATGTTTTGGAATTTTGTCCCAAATAACGCTAAAATATATGGTTGCTAGGCACTTTTTTTCCACTATAAATGATTGTTCTTATATAAATTTTGTGATGACATTCACCCCATTACTTTTGAGCTTGTGTCTATCAACTAGATTAAATAGTCCTTTACCAAAATATATGTTGTAGCTGGGTACTTATGCGTCAAATTAGGGTGGTTGCTAAGCACTTTTGACATAACCTTGACTTCTTACCCTTGATTTTTTAACCAAATAATAACTTTAATCGACTTGAACATTTTCCCAATTAATTATATGCTTATATCCATTACCCTTTTTAAAAAAGTCCCATAATTAAAACTCAAGGTCAAGGTCATTAAATGCTCAATATTTTAGGCATCATATACATTCAATACGTATAATGGTATTTCAGTTATTTTAAATGATTTTGTCAAAAATTTTGTAAAAAAAAGGAAAAATGACCCATTTTGTGTCCTGTAGCCTCTAAGCACCCTGAATCCTAACATTTTGTTGTAAGTTATTGATGAGAAGTTTTGATACTTTTAATTTATAACCACAATTTTAATAGAGGTGGATGCAAAAATGTGTTTTTGGTTTGGTTCTTGCAAAATGTGAATCATTTGCCTTCACAAATACTATAATAAATTACCCCCTGTTCATTCGGTTGTGTCAATATTAAGACAAACAAGTTTTTTTTCAAATCTTGCATTGCTGTGTCCTTTGTTCATCATCATATTGCTGGAAATATTAATAGATACTATCCAATGAAATCTAGTTTTGCTTGAAAACAGTTATTTTTTAGGCACCACACTCCCTTTATTTGCCGCTTCAAATATTGTTATAATCATCAAACCAGTGTCTTTACCATATACCACGCACCAAATCTATAGGAGACGTTGTATGGTAGTATTCTATACAAAGCACAGAAATGGCGTCATTCATCTCAAAAGCTAACCAAACCTTTAATAAGACATAATCAAAAGGGATATAGTTACGATACTGTTGTCAAGTCATTAAAGATGGCATTTTTTGAACTAATATTGATTCACTCATAGGGTCTTTGCATCGGAAATAAACAAATTTATTCTAAAACCAGTTGTTGGTATGATAAAAAAAACCCTAACGGGAACGAATGTGTTTGATTTTCATCATCTTCGCTAGCCAAGGGTTACGATCCACTTCCCTCCTCTCCACCCTTGGCAGATTAAGCCAACATTTGTGATAACAATGTTGCGCCATCTGTCGGTAGATTAATGTCACGCCCATTCTTGACCAACGGTAGCACTTGAACTCTTCAATTTGGAGGTAAAAACACGGTAGCGTCTAGATTCTACAAACTTGGTAAAGCAGGAAACGAAAATATACGTTGACATTCATGCATTTGTGCAAGAAACATACACAGGAACTTCTATTAGTTGATTAAAAACATTCAAATTGTCACTAAATATAGTCGTATGTTTAGGGATGTAAAGACTTGTTGCACAATGAGCACGTGGCAATTGTTTACATACACTTTCTACATTTACACGTGATCATGTTATAGGCGCTTTTTGATTGGATGCAGCGAGTTTCGACTGCAACCAATGAAGATCATTACCTTGTGTCTCCGAAATTCTATCTCAATCTGCCAAGGGTGGAGAGGAGGGAAGTGGATCGTAACCCTTGGCTAGTGGAGAGGAGGGAAGTGGATCGTAAACCTTGGCTAGCGAAGATGGATTTTCATATGATGAAGACATAATCTTTCGATCAGTTTAATTGAGGTCTGGAGCTAGCATGTCAGTAAAAAAAGAGGGACGAAAGATACCAGAGGGACAGTCAAACTCATAGATCGAAAACAAACTGACAACGCCATGGCCAAAAATAAAAAGACAAACAGACAAATAATAGTACAGATGACACAACATAAAAAAAGACTAAGCAACACGAACCCCACCAAAAACTGGGGTGATCTCAGGTGCTCCGGAAGGGTAAGCAGATCCTGCTCCACATGTGGCACCCGTCGTGTTGCTTATGTTATTATAAATCCTGTAAATAGTCTAATTCGGTAAGTCACATTCGTGAAAAGGGAGGGTATTGTAGTTACAACATAAGGAACATATCCGATATCATCTGTGAAACGGTTATTCCATAACGGTTAACCAACTCGTGATGGCGTCCGTAAAATTTACGAAGGGATGACTTTAACTTCACCATTTGGTTTAATAGTTTCCTTATGAGCAGCAATCCTCTATCAAGGAAATCATGATAGGAAACAAAAGCCCGGGAATATCGTATCAATTGGGAGATATATACTCCGTATGCAGGCGCTGCTGGAATGTTGCTACATAGAAATGGAAAGTTCACAATTGGGAAGCTGAAATCATCTCTTTTGTCGTAAAGTTTTGTTTTCAACCGACTCTCATTGTCAACTGCTATTTGTCCTTTGTTAATTAATGTTGATTATTCATTAATTATTTTCACATCGGACTTGGACTTCTTTTAGACTGAGTTTAGCTGTGCGTATTGTTGTGTGTTTGCTTATTTATCATCGGCCAGGGGAGGGTTGAGATCTCACATAACATGTTTAACCACGACGCATTTTTGCGCCTTTCCCAAGTCGTGTGTTTATTTTTTTTAGTTTTGGTTCATTTATATGTTTCGGAGTTTAGTGTGACGTCCATTTCGCTGAACTATAGTATACATTAATGTTGAGGAGCCAGCTAACGCCCGCCTCCAAATGCGGGATCTTCCCGCTACGTTGAAGCCCCATTGGAGGCCATGGGCTGTTTTCTGCTTTGGTTTTTTTTTTTGTTAGGTTGTTGTCGTTTTGACACATTCCCATTCTCAATTCTATTTACTAAGTTGTAAAACTTGTGTCTGATACATTTGTCATTTTGAACAATGAAATATGTTTAAACTAAATCGCCCATGTTCCCATGTATTGAATACATTTGTAATCGCCCCTGTTTGTGCTGATCAGTTTATATTATTTTATATAGTGTTTTGTTGACTGTTGTTTGTCTTTAGAACGTTTTCCGTTTTTTATGCCTTGATTTTGTCGGTCTCTCTTCGACTTATGAGTTTTGATTCTACCTTCGGTAATTTGCGCCTTTTTCATGAAAGAGCTAAAACGTTATATTTTTTCCATATTTTTCGTTTAATGTACCCATAATTCCCCAAAAGTTCCCTTAGCCATGTCTGATCTTCTCTGCTTTCAACAAAGACGGTTTTTTTTTTCTAGCACAATGTTATTCTAAAAAATAAAAGATGAGCTTATTTTTTTTTTTGATCGGAGCGCTTTTCATTTACTGATCATGACTATCTAAATCAGAAGAGGGTTCAAACGTTAAATATTATTTAATTGTAAGTGAGAAAACACATTGCTTCCCTGAGTGTTTATTTCTACCTTGGTATTTTCCCCTTTTGGACTAATACATGTTTATTGAATTAATTTTCCTAAACATTCGATTCTGACAAAAATAAATATATTTTTTTTCTTTTCTGTTTCATATAGGTCAAAGGAATCATAGGTGTAATGGAATACCAACAAGGAAATGTAGAGCGATGCATGTCAGGAAAATCGGTAATCTCCAAGAGGGTTGCTCCACGAAGGGCAATGCTCCCAGAATATTCTACCGAGAAAAACGGAACAATCATCTTTGAAAGTGAAGAATGGGATGAATCTGACGACGAATGATGAACAAATCATGTGAAAATGGTGGACAAATAAAATTCAATTCTTAGACGAGCCTCATTATATAGAATACTATTGAAAGCACTTGTGATTTAAGATTTTGTTATTTCATAAATATAATTCTTCATTTTTTTAAACTTATTTTCCCTTTTTTATATGTTTTTGCTCTTATGGTTACAGTATTACAACAACTGTAGTTTGTATGTGCTACCCCTCTACTCATACTTTTCACAAATCATTGACGAAAATTAAATAAAATTCTTATAATAAAAAAAGAAAAGAGGGCCCAATCTCCAATGTTGTGAAAGAATACGCGAAATGAAGCTATTTTCATTTAATGTTGTCATACTTTCTTATAAAAAAAAATATATAGCAATTTCTTTAAACGACAATGTTTCAATTAGTTTCAGTTGTTAAGTGGTTGAATTGTATATTGTGTGCCTTTAAAAACTTCTGTGAAGCATCTACTTTAATTTTGAAAATGGTAAATTGCAAACAGCATAAGTCATCATAAGAAACCATAAGCAATACTTGTTTTATTTGTAATGAAATGTTACTTATATACTAATATAAAAATAAGGAGATGCGGTATGATTGCCAATAAGAAAACTATCCAACAGAGTCCAAATGACTTGGATGTAAGCAACGGCCTTCAAAGATGAACAAAACTTATACCTTATAGTCGGCTTTAAAAGACCTTGACATGACAAAATCTGAAACATTTCAAACGAAAGATTTAAGACGATTTCAAACTACTTCAGTTGCAGCCATAAATGTCATAGAATAGTGATTTCTTTTGTGAAACTGCTTTGTTTTGTAAATTATGGTCTATATCTCGAATATCCATTTCCGCTGGAAAATTGAAATTATTTTTTTTTCTTAACTGTGAAAATGTTGTCGAAAAAACAATACGTTGCAAAATAGATATATGGCAATCTGATTTCAAAAATATCTATCAACACTAGTTCAGATTTTAGCAGACAGTGTTACTACGTAGAATCTAAACAGGAATAAAATATGCACAGCTGGAGCTTTTAAGGTTACAAATGAATCGTTTCAGGGACATAGTAAAATAAAAGTAGCAATAAACTACTGTCAAAGTCGACATCTTACATTTTATCTCGAATTCTCAAGTAATAAGTTTTTTTCATTTTGACTTATAAATCTTAAAATGTCGACTTTTAATAACTCATATTTTCAAATTTAAAGTCAAAATTTCGGATTTAAAAAGTACATTTTTCATATTTTGACTTTATAAAATCTTGAATTAAACTTTATAAATCTTGAACATTTGACTTATGAAACCTTGTTTAAGTTGTAAATTAGACGTAACATAGCAGTACCAAAGCTCAAGTCTCATAATGCCATTAGAAAGATACTAATCAAGACAATAATAATATAAAAAAAAAAGCTGAGGGAATCGTATCAGAGACCGGGTGCGTCTATAAGGTAAGCGTCTCCTGCTTTGCATGCAAATCGGTCAGCATTTCATTATTATGAATGAATAGGACACGATCGGTAAATTAACAGATTATAAGAATATTCGGGTATCTAAAAATCTAAGACCACGCGAAACATGTAACTAGTGAGTTGAGAAAAAGACACATCGTTTCGGTCAACCAATTCGTGTTGGTGACCTTAAAACTTATGCAGTTTTGTTTCTCATAACTCTGTTGGAGTAGTATTTTGTGTTAGGAACATGCCCCTTAATGAAGTTCGTATAATGTGAAAATGCACGAGCATAATGTAGGAATTGAGATATGTAAACATCATACTATGGGGAAGAGAATGTGATACTGCTGAGAAATTAATACGTAACATCTTGACTTTTGCATATGACAATTTGAGGGCATACGAAATAGAAACAGTAGCAGATTATATATATATATAGGTTTTGGTTCTTAAATGTTTTTGCCTTGAGTATTTGGCGCAGTAACATTTGTACCGTATATTGATTACTTTACCACTACTTCGATACCTCTGCTTTTGGACTGTTTGTTCCTGAGGGTATCACCAGCCCAGTATCTCAATACTTCGGTACTGGCATGAACATACGGATATTGTTTAGTGAAATTTGTTGTTGTAAAACATAGAAAATCCTTTGAAATTAAGAAATGTATCTTTCTCATCCATAGCTCTGATTCCTTGATTGGTTTTCGCAATAATTTTAGTAAATTTCAAGTACTGGTACATAAGCTCCGACTTTTCTATAGGCCTTCTGGGTTTTCAAATATGTTGGCCTCATGCATCGTTTAGGAGACATTTATTGACGAATGTGAATTTGGTGCGGTAAAATTGGTTAGTTTGATTTCCTCTACCTCCGAATTTTCTATAGGCCTTTTGGTTTTTCAAATATGTTGGCCTCAAGCATCACTAAGGAGACATTTATTGTCGAAATGTAAATTTGGTGCAGTAAAATAGGTGTGTTTAATTTGTTCTAGCTCCAAATTTTCTATAGGCCTTTAAGTTTTTCAAATATGTTGGTCTCATGCATCACTAAGGAGACATTTATTGTCGAAATGTGAATTTGGTGCAGTAAAATTGGTTAGTTTAATTTGATTATATAATATTTGTATATTAAATTAAGAATGGAAACGGGGAATGCATCAAAGAAACAACAACCCGACCAAAGAGCAGAAAACAGCCCAATGCCACCAATGGGTCTTCAACACAGCGAGAAAATCCCGCATCCGGAGGCGGGCTTCAGCTGGCCCTTAAACAATAATGTATACTAGTTCAGCAAAAATGGACGTCACACTAATCTCCAAAACATATAAATGAACAAAAATCTAAAAAAAAAACATTCAAGACTAACAACAGTCAGAGGTTTCTGACTTGAGACAGGCGCAAAAATACGACGGGGTTAAACATGTTTTATGAGATATCAACCCTCCATCTATACCTCTAGCCAATGTGAAATAAACAAACACAGCAATACGCATAGTAAAATTCAGTCCAAAAGAAGTCCGATTCCGATGTTAGAATAGGTAACAGAAGAAACTTAACAAAATGATAATAATCAACATAAATTAACAAAGGACAATACTCGCAGTTACTGACATGCCAGCTCCAGACCTCAATTAAACTTAAAATTGGCGTTAAATGTTATAAGATGTACTTTTATTGCCATAATTTAAAATTCTAAAAGCGTAGAAGTGTTTGCTTTTTGGTAACTATGATAATTTGATTAGTCATGGACAATTGCCGCACAATGTTGATAACTTTGTATTCGTCGATAATTTGGCGATATTTTACTTTACCATCTAGCCTATTTTCATTCATGTCCTTACCAGAATAAAAATTTTCATTTTCCAATATAAATATTTAATATGGACTAATAATTTCTTCAAATCTGAAACAAAATTAGCATAATGTTGATATCACGTCTAAAAAGTGTAAAAAACAACACCAGTATTAAAAAAAAGGAAACAGTAAATACAAGTACCAATAAATATTACGGATGACAGATATCCTTAATCGGTACGATGCAAAATGAATCTTATCAAAAAGTAAAATAACAATAAAATACCGAACTCCAATGAAATTTCAAAACGGAATGTCCTTTATCAAATGGTAAAATAAAAAGATCAAACACATCAAACGAATAGAAAACAACTGTCATATTCCTGACTTGCTACAGGCATTTCCTTATGTAGAAAACGGTGGATTAAACCTGGTTAAAAACAAGTTATTCTGATAGTACCAGTATATTATATATCTTAAAATAAAATAGCTTTGATGGATTGGTTTTTATTAAATTTAGATTTTCAAACATATATCTGATCGAACATACTTTTTACATATAATGAATAGTAGTATGCAAAAATTAGGAATGTAATAATAGTTATAAACATTGATTATTCCACTAATCTCATTAAATACAGTATGAACGGCTTAATATTAGCTACGAATTAATATTCAATAGTTTTTTTCAACACTTAACCCTGATCACAGAGTTTAATCTTTTAACACATTTATAAATGTACAGATTGAAATAACAAAATGGAAACCAGTTTGAAATCCTTATGATTTATAAAAATCAGTAATAAGGGGTAAGTTAAATAATAATAATTCATTTTTTATCATACACTAAAATGATGTCTTGAGTAATTAAGGCGAAATAGACAAATCAAGGTAACCCACTGAAACTGAGTGAAGTAGCGAGACCGGGTACGTCGACAGAGTAAGCGTCTCCTGTTATGTACTAATCACCCCTTATGCGAAATCATACTCGTCAAAATGTCACAATTGGTAAAATATCAGATCAGACGACTTGACTGGTATCTATAGATCTAAGACCGCGAAAACATGTCGCTAGTGAATTGATACACAGATACATTATATTGGTAAACCAATTCGTGATGGTGAACGTAAACAGTTACCTATGTTGTGTCGATTTCAGTTAGCAGCACACCCCTGATAATGAAGCCCGTATTGTGTGTTTATTATCATATTTCAGGAACAATGGTTCAAACAGAAATCAGCGGAAAGACTCTGATTTCGTTCATACAAATACAAAATGTACCAAATATTTTTTTTTCAAACCAAATGTGTAATTGTAAAGAGGTATTATAATATGTATAGCTGAAATTTTAAATATATAGTTACCCTTTTGTCTGCATCAGACGTCAGGTTCTATGAAATATTATATTTTGCAATTTTTAGAAGTCGTTAGAACCATGGGCGCTAATGAGTCTAAAGGTTCACCAGGTGTAACACAGAACGCGATTAATAATGTTGTTCAGCCAGAAGAAAGTACTAGCGGAACTGCCCCAAGAGAGACAGATGCTAGGCAAATCAACGAAAGTATTCATAGGAATAAAGCTGTCAAAGGCAAATTATCAAATGATGCAAATAAACACAAAGCCGATAGCAAACCTAAACTCCCAGCGCATGCCGATACAAATGATGATAAAATATCACCAGAGAAGACCAACACAAATGAAAATAAAAGATCACCAGAGAAGGCCAACACAGATGATGGTGATGATAAAACTGTATCAAGCTATGCAGCAAAGGTACATACATATGAAACGTACATTTTACTACATTTCAATATTATCGTTTTATTGTTTTGAAGGAATCATGAATGAGTGTTTCAATGTCAATCAAAAGCGGTCGAACAATGGGGCGAAAATGGGGAACTCGAATACTCCACTTTCATAGGTTGGAGGAAATGCTCCAAACAAACATGTTTTGTGATTCTTTTCCGTCAAAAATTTATTAACAGTTAGAACACGGAATACTTGCCTGTATTCAATTCTTACATTGCATCTGTCGGTGAACCTAGATGCTGGTATTATGCATGGATTGGATTTAGGAGTTGAAACAACACTTTATCTCACTTTACTTTAGGCCTATGGAATACATCTTGATATGATACAATTTACATAAGTCGTTAGAATAAACTCATCATAGATACAATGGGAACTCCCTCATTCAAAGTTGACCTTAGATGGATTTGGCTAAATTTTAGTTTCTTTTTAGTCATATAGCTCTTCAATTGTTTCGGTTTTTATACATCCTTGGCTTTCAAATATTCGGCTTTGAGCGTTCCTGTTGAAGGTAAATCCCGAAAAGCGTTTCGGACGCATGAAATTTATAACGTGTTGTTTTCATTTTTTTTTTTATATAAATGGATAAAAAGACGAATTATCTCTTAAAAACCGTATCGCTATCTTTTGAAGATGTCGACTGTTTGTTTTCTCAGTATAGTTAGTATATTTTATATTTTGAAGTTCTCAGTTTGGTAAATACGTCATAAAAATATCCAGTCTCGTTAATGACAGATTTATATCGTCCAAAACATTGTCACTGATTTCCCCTTGTTTAGTGTACCTTCTTTCCATCTCACTTTAAAGTCTTAATACTAAAAAATGGACGTATAGCAATTTCATTGAGCACATCATTCTGGTCTGGTTAAATAAATGAAAACGGTTTTAATTTCCTTGTTTGGTCCAAAGCTGAATAGCATATAATCAATATAATTTTTAGGTTAAGAATATATAATATCAACCAATTCAAATATCTATAGTCTGAATGGCCGGTTTGTTTTTGAAAGTAGGTGAGACAGCTCATGCAACATTTGGAAAACATAATATATTAATTGTCTATTTGCCAATTACTGATTTGATTCTGTTACAACACTTTTTAATATGAAAAAATAACTATTGATGATATCACATGTCAAAAGTTTTACCTTCACTAAAGATTAGATGTAATTACTGATTTGAAAACAAAACCTTAAAGATAACATACATTTCGCACAGATACATTTGCTCTCTTCGCTGGCTTTCCATTGCAAATGCACATTTATGTCCCTTCCAAGGGAACCGACTTGTACAAGTAGATCTCTAATTACAGGGTGCATAACGGAATTTGCAAATAGACCATTCGAATTCAAAATAATACCATCTAAATCGTACATAAGTTTATACATACATGTAAATACTATAACATTTTATTTCATCAGATAGATGAAAGACCAGGAGCATGGAAGAAATCTCTGAAGAAAGGGGAAATTCCAGAACCAGTTCCACAGAAGCAGACAAAGCAGGTGTTTCTCAATGGCATCAACTTTGATGTTGTTGATCAACACGCGTTAACGGTATGTTCATGCATATTGTAAGAGTAAGACGTTGTAGTACTTAGTATGAACTACATAAACTAGTTCAAAGCATGAAATAAAATCTTCAAACATTCAAAATAAAAAGTAAGAATTTGAAAGCACAACGAACTTTTTGATAGAAGGCATTTGTTCTTCAAGAAAACTATTAAAAATATGTTCAGTCGTATGATCCAATTCTCCGTATATAAAGGAACTTCAAAAACTCCAAATCGCTCGTGTCATTCCCAAACCCAAATTTGTAAAATAAAAACCACACACGTTCACACCAATAACTGCAATGGTCATAATTTCAAGGCTAGTCGGTCATCCGAAACGAAACGCAAACTCGATCCGTAACTTTAAAATAATGAGACGATTATAAATCTCAAAATTCTATCAAAAATTTGTGAATTTAAAACAAATGTTAAAAAACTGAATCAAGCACAAAACCACAATCAGAACCAAAAACTCTAAATATCACCCGTCATATTTCTATGTGATTGTCCTAAGTCAGAAAACTCAGTGATTGTCTCTCCGTTGTATCTACTTGTGTTTGTCCTTTGGGGAATTTGATGTTGATGGCACATCTTTGATTCTCTGTAAAATTAGTCACAATTAAAAACGAAATCAGAACAATTTAGTGTTTGACATACGGTTAAATACATTAAATAATCTTATTTTAATGAATTTCGTAATGGTTTCACTGTAAATTCTATTGAAAGAGTATTCTTTTTATTTTCATGCAAATGATAATCCAGTGTTTTGGTGACACTTAGCCAGAAATTTGTAATTAGTTTTGGTATAAACGACCAGGATTCTTTTTTTTTCTTCTTTTTATGTGTAACCAGGCTCCCAAATCATTGTTAGAAGGTTCGTTCTGGGAACTTGTCCAGTATTTAACAGGTGATGACGTGTTTGACGACTTGGTTCGGGTAAGGGCGATCTATAGGTGGATAACATCCTATGATGTACAGAATATGGAAATAGTTACCACACCAGTGCCAGATACACCGTTAGAATACTTCAGTAAAATCCAATGTGATATGGGAAACCTTGCTAATCTTTTCTATATCTTATGCACGTAAGTACAATTCAACATACACACACTCTAAAAATTATAAGTGATAACACAAATATATCGTTAAAAGTGTTATTCATTACCAAAAATAAAAAAACAATGGGTTCTGTAAAATTTTAACCAACCAAGAACAAGAATTGCTTACTTCATTTGAGATTTGGTGGATAGTTGTCTCATTGGTAATCATACCACATCTCCTTATTTTGATATCAAAAGTCGAGATAATTGACATTAATTCATTATGATGCCATTCTAATAGAAAAACAAAGAATATAGGGTTTCAATCCATGACACAAAATCAGTACATGCACAGCATTCTATTCATTTTCTGCTAACAAAAATAAATTTCACTTATTCTTCACTGAAGACGAATCTTACCAGCCAATAAAACGAAGACAAAAAAAAACGCATGGGAAATTTCTCTCAATTGTGCCATACCTATCCAAAAGTATAAATCACTTTGAGTAGATAATCCACAATTATCACCATGATATAATACATTCCGATGTTTCGGCACAATTGTCGATATTATAGTACCAGAATAAAAAAATTATTAAAAACTCGGCCATTTCACACATAGCTATGGAACACTTTAGACGAAAATGAGTGTATTGATCAGTTGAAAAAATTAGAACAGATCAACGGGGAGAAATATTTAATATCGTATTATATCTAAATGCTTGTATATGTTTCAGATGTCCAAATAAAATTTTAAGGTTGTAATTTTATAAGTCAGAAAATCTTAAATTGTCAGAAAAATTCAACTTTACAATACTAAAAATATGCTTTGCTTAAAGAATGGCAGAAGTTCCATGTGAAGTTATCGATGGAATAACAAAGAATGAAGATTACGATCTGGGAGAACCAGAAACTCCAGAATTGAAAGCGCAATGGAATGCTGTGTTTGTGCAAAACGAATGGCGTCTTGTTGATATTTTCTGGGCTAAATGGTGTGTAAAACTTAACTCCGGTGACGATGACGAATCACTTAGTACAAGGTCTATGCAAAGACTGGTTCATGACGATGATGCTGACGAAGAATATTTCTTTGCAAATGCAGAAGACCTAATATGGACACATTATCCAGATGAAGAAAAATGGCAATTACTTAAGGACAAAATTTCGAATGGTGAATTTTTTAAAAGATTATACGTCCGAGAAAGATCCAGAGAAATGGGAGTAACATATCCACAAAATAATATATTGGTAAAAGTAGTTGAAGGACAAGCTGAATTTAAACTCCATTTTCCACAAGTGAGAGGACAAAACTATCATTTTAAGCACAACTTTATTAGAACGATTCCCGAGGGTGACACAGCCAGGAAACTTGATAAAATTCTTCATCATTTTATCATGTTTGAACGACATGACGAAAGCATTCACTTTATGTTTAATATTCCGGTTCTGGGCAAGTTTCGTGTCAATATATTTGCATGCGACCCTGGAACTGAAGGGTTAGACAAATTTGATTTAATATGTTCATTTGTAGTTTTATCCTCACAGTTATCGAAGGAGTGTCTGCCATTACCTGACTACCCTAAAATAGGCTGGGGACCGAACAAAGTATCTAGACGTTTAGGATTAGTTCCGATAACACACGAGGAATCAAGTATATACACAGCAACAGGAATACTGGATATTGAAATCGAAGGAAAACAGGAACTTAGATTAGAAATGAAATTACTTAATCCATTTGTGGACAGTGCTAACATGTCAAAATACGCTATGCTCTATTGGAATCAAGGAAAGTATATTGTCCGAACAAGATTGCCACGCCAAGGAATTTACGGACTAAAATTCTTTACTAGAAACAGAAATACAATGGAACAAGAGAATGTACTTAACTATCTAATACATTGCTCCATGAAAAAAGGAGAGGTGCAATGCCTGCCTAATATCGCCCAAGATAACCTTGGTCCCCATCCTACCATTGAACGTTTAGGAATTGCAGCAAATATGCATGAAAATGGCTACATCATAGCAAGAGATGGACACACAAATATAGATTTTATGACAAAGTCAGATGTTGATTTAGTAGGCGAGCTTCATTCAAATGATCCTTCAGCCGTTCCACGAATGAGAGTGCATCAATACAGAAAAAATCACAAACAAGCTTTTGCCATTGATGTTCCAGTACGAGGAGAATACGCATTTAATGTCTATGCAATTAAGAAGGATGAACCAGAGAAATTAAACAATGCGTACGCCTTCCTTGTCAATTCTTTAGGTCGACACATAGAAGTTGGAACATTAAACAATAAAACATTGGAAAACAGCAAAAATTTCTGGAAGCATACAAAAGAAGTTAAAGCAGAATCAATAGTTACGACTGATACTGAAATTTCTATCCCTGTACCAAGAGGTGTGGACGTACTTACAGCATTTCTACAGAAAGCTGACAGGTCTGAACCTCAGAATTCTCAATCTATACAAAGATATACAGAAAAAGGCATTGATATTTATAAGGTGACCTTGGAAGACCTTGGTGATTATATCTTCAATATTTTCCAACAGGAGAATAAGTTTTTACGTTTGGTCAACAGATATATTATAACACGGAATGACAAAGAGGAAGAGTTAGAACAAGACGCTAAGGAAGTATTACAAATCATAAAGGAAGAAAGAGAAAATGCCGGAACGGACGTATCGGATCTGGAACGTCATATAAATGATAGTCGTCTGAAAAACTTTGTAGATGGTAAGTTTATATAACACATCAAAAATAAAATTGTAAAATAATATGTTCTAACAGATATATACATGTAATATACATATATGCATCTACATATTAACCTCTACATAAAATAAGGAGATACGATATGATTGCCAATGAGACAACTATCCTACAGATTCATTCAAACAACTATAGGTCACCGCAAGGCCCTTATAACAATGAATAAAACTCATACCGTGTATTCCCACTATAAAAATTTCCGGCATGACAAAATGTGAAACAATTCGAACGAAAAACCTAATGGCTTAATTTATGACAAAATAATAAAGTATAATCATATAGTTCAACTTAGTATTTTCTGCACGTTATCAAAATTGTTATACGTAAAACAAATAAATTCCAGGATTCTGTATTTAATCAAGGAAGTCATTCAATGTTAGTCCATATAGAGGACAAACAACCATTTGAGTTAACACAACCAGTATCAAATGAACTCCAAACGGAGTGAAATCAATTGGAAGCCCTTTCCTGCTACTGTGTGCACCGTTTGTCCGTCATTATATTCCTAGCTTATTTCTTCTTGTAACAGTTCAAACAAGGAAAATGTCAAATGTGTTGGATCTAAACACATATAATTTAAAGTTAACACCGAGTAGGTTGAGGTGCTGGGGAATTATAAGTGGCTTGTAAATGTTAAGACATCAGTATCTGGCGCATATTTTTTTTTTATAGAATGGTTCTATATATTATGTTTACGGGCAAGAATTTTTATGAAATTGTTTACATAAAAAATTATGAACTATTTACTTGACATAAATTCCGAAAAGTGACATGTTTAGAATTTAAAGAGGTCGTCGAAGGTTTTTGTTTTTGCTAAGATTTTTTTGAAAATGCAGCGAATATTTTTTTGTTTACTTTTGAGATGCTGCGTTTCAATAATTATCATTATTGAATAACTTTCGTGTAGAAAATGATAGCTATATCAGATTTTGTTTTGCCAAAAATGATGGACCACATCTATATTAGAAACAAATAATGTCATTTATGTTTACAGTTGATAAGAGAATAGAAGCAGCCCAAATGTTAACAGAAGCTCTAAAATCAAACAATCCACAATTAATACGACAGGCTTTATCTGAGTACCAATACAACAAACCTGAAAAGGATGATGATCTGTTGAGAAATAGCAAGAAAAAGATTAGAAAGCTGGAAGCCAAGTATGGTATGTACTGTGTGTAAACTGATGAAGCAGGAACAACAGAATATTAACTCTGCTTATGATGAAGAAAATAAAATCAATAGTTTGTTTACGTCGGTTATCAAAATTATATAAAAATTATTTCGAAACTACAATCGTACATCTAAAAAAATTATCTGTTATATAAACTACATGTATGTTATTTGAAATATACCTGCAAAAAGTAAAATAACTAAAATACCGAACTGCAAAGAAAATAAAAAAAAAAGTCCATTATCAAACGGCAAAATCTAAAGCTCAAACACATCAAACGAATTGAAAACAACTGTCATATTCCTGACTTGGTACAGACATTTCCTTATGTAGAAAATGCATATTGTCTTGTTCTCATTATTTTTTGAGATACATGTAATTGCAAAAGAAGCTCGTTATACTGACACTTGTAAGAAATATTCATCTTTGCTCCATATTGATATAAAGTAATGAACAAAAAAAATCATATACACACAAGCACTAAATCTCTTTCCATTAATTAATTTTCAGACTGTTCCACACAGTCCTTAGTATAGTACAATTTCAGAAATGTCCATATTTTCCACAACTAAGTTTTCGAGCTAAGTGTTTGAAGGGGAAGCCATTTTTGTCACTAGATTTTTCACTGTGTATATACGTGTATACTTCGTGATATTTTTTTATGTAATCTATTGCATGTACGAAAATTAATTCTTGTCTTTTTACTACACATAGAAATATAGTTCGCATGTTATAATGTTTTTATATGATATTTACAATGTAAAAATTAATAAATAAGACCAATTTATATACAATGTAAACATACATTTACAGATTGCTTATGGCATTTAAATTTTGTGTCCTTCAATGTAATATTATTTCATATTTTAATCCAAAAGTAAAACGTAGCAATTAGATAAAATCGATATACATTAAAGTTGTAAAGTGAGCATTTAAAATTTTTCAGAGAGAAATCCATTTTATTTTCTGTTTTCCCTATTCTTGATTAATAATTAACAATTGCTATATTTAAGGTAAGTGCGTTTCTTTTTTTCAAAATTAAGAGATAAAAACGAATTACAATGAGTACCATTTTAAGCAAATATAACATGTCAGAGGAGAACAATCTTATAAGTATTTTTGTACGAGTTAATAAATGGAACGACATTTTGTAATCATTGGGTAAAAAAAGTGAATGATAGAAGTCCGCTGGATTTAAAACGTGTAGTTGATACAGAAGATTAACAACAACAACAAATACAGTTAAGCAACACTGTAAGAAGATAACAGCTTATAACAATATTCAACGTTTTTTACTGTGAAAATATCTCCTCAGAATTAATGTACTTGATCAGTTTTGATGCATGATAATTTGTATCCTATTTGTTTATCCTGTACAATGTCCTTTATAAAAGACTTCTGGCCTAAAAAATAGACACAACCAGTTTGATCTCTATTTAGGTAAACAAAATAGGAAAATAAACTAAAGACATAAATGTTTTCCTGATATTTTTTGCAATATCCTTTCTATAAGGCTTCTAATCTATCAAAGTATGTTCTCAATGTTACATGTAATACGAAATCAGTGAGTTAAGTTTGTTTAATTTAATATTACAAATCTTATACATTCTACAGATTTACTTAGAGCTTTTAAAGCAAGAGAGTTGACTAATCTTGACCGAGCCATATCATTGGCATCGGCTATTAATGAAGATAGATCATTCGACCAACAGTTGATACATGCAAAACGACTGAGAGATAGATTAGCTGCAATGCGAACTATGCAAGACATGGCCAGAAATACAGACAATAGGGTAGTTGGTGAAATAAGACAGTATAACACGCCACCTATCGGCGTCCACCAGACTATCATGGCTGCGTTGATGTTGATGGGATACGATCCTTCTGAAGTGAAGGTAGGCTCTTTTAAAATATGTCGTTTTAATCCGCTAGACCCTCTTTAAAATGCCCGTCTCTGTCCAGCTGTTTCCGAAGTCAGTACAACAGATCGCCTAAATTAGTGTCAGTTTTAATCACTATTGATTGCAATCATTTTAGACAAATAGTTCGATCTTCTCCTGCTTTTTATATCTCCTTTTCTGTAACGAGTAACTGCCTCTCTGACAATCAATAAATACAGTACATGTAATCGACGTACGACGTCCATTTATAAGTAATATACGGAAAAACAAGACATATATTTTTACAAAATTTCCTTCAAGATACTAGCTTTTGATCATAGACAAGCTTCTATCCAAGTTTGGTACAAATCCAGTATAGTTAAAGAAAGTTATTAAAATTTTAAAAACCTTAACCACAGAGTGAATGTAATGTTAACTGGCAGAAAAAACTAAGTAATATACGGAAAACTAGGAAATATATTTTTACAAAATTTCCTTCTAGATACTAGCTTTTGATCATAAAAAAGCTTCTGTCCAAGTTTGGTACAAATCAAAATAGTTTAAGAAAGTTATTAAAATTTTAAAAACTTTAACCACAGAGTGAATGTAATGTTAAATGGCAGAAAAACTAAGTCCATTTATAAGTATATACGGAAAAACAGGAAATATATTGTTACAAAATTTTCTTCTAGATACTAGCTTTTGATCATAAACAAGCTTCTGTCCAAGTTTGGTACAAATCCAGGATAGTTTAAGAAAGTTATTAAAATTTTAAAAACTTTAACCACAGAGTGAATGTAATGTTAACTGGCAGAAAAACTAAGTCCATTTATAAGTAAAATACGGAAAAACAAGATTTTTTTTTACAAAATTTACTTCTGGATACTTTCTTATGATCATAAACAAGCTTCTGTCCAAGTTTGGTAGAAATCCAGGATAGTTTAAGAAAGTTATTAAAATTTCAAAAAACTTTAACCACAGAGTGAATATTTGTGGACGCCGACGACGACGACGACGCCGACGACGGAATGTAGGATTGCTATGTCTCGCTTTTGCGACAAAAGTCGCATGCTCGACAAAAAGCTAGAGTTAAATTTTTATCATAAATTGTTGATTTTTTCTTTTTTTCAGACGTGGAAAAATTGTCAAAAGATATTGGGACTACACGGTGAGAAGTCTTTCTTGACACAAATGTCAAAGTTTGACCCGAAAGATGTCAACTTGACACTTGCGGTGGAGGCCAAGAAAATAATGGAACCATATACAGCCGAACAGATACATTCCGAAAGTCATGAAGCGGCTTCTGTGTTTATTTGGGTAGGTGTTTATTTTTCATATCGTTTGAAAAGGTTTGAGTCCTAATGGTAAAGTATGATATGACATCGATACAAGCAATAATTAAAACAAGTCGATAATGACTAGCAGTTTATTATATATGTGAGTATCTAAATACGATATTCAAATTTTAGCATTTTGCATATCAAATGGTAATGTTTTTTTTCTTGCCTTGTGTTTTTTTTTTATTGACCCTTGGCATCGTCTTCTCTTTTTGTATAATATAATTTGATAATAAATATTTCCCTATCCCGTCTCAACTTTCATAACAGTGCTTGTTGTATTGTTGTGCTAAGGGTATAACATATTTTATATTCTTAAAGAGCCTTTTTGTTTAAATTTATGCTCATATTTAAGTCACGTAACGCTAATATATAAAAATGTGATATCTAATTCGAATTTCAGGCTGAAAATATGATAAAAGAAATAGAATCAAACGCCGGAACTCTGGGCGTAAATAAAATGGTCCCTGAACACAATCGGGCTAAAACTGAAATAGAAAAACCAGCAAAAATTGTTCCACAAGCGGAATCTCCAGCTCCTTCAAAAAGCAAAAAAGAAAAACCGACACTTGTTACACTTGAATCATTATTTATGGAATCCCCTATTCCGCCACAATCTCCATCAAAAGCCAAGGCCCAGAAAAGAAATACTGCAAAGAATCAACAGCAGCTACCGCAACAACGACCATCAGAATCAGACAACAAAATAAATGGTAAAAGGTCAAATCCAAATGTTTACACGAAGGCAAATGAAGTTATTCACAGTACAGATTCCAAACAGAAAAATAAAAGCCAAGACAAAAACAATAATACAGCTAAATCAGTACCGAAAAAGGCAAATAACCAGGTCGAAGTTACTAAAAATAACAGAAAACCAACAGAATTTACACAAAAAGATAAGGTTGTACCAGGTGCAAAACTCCGTGACAAGGCACCTATAGAAGAAATGGTATATGATGAGGATGTTACGAAACCCAAGACCAATTTCATTGCTAAGAATGTGAAATCATTCAAACCAAAAACCGAAGAGGAAGAAGATGATAAAATAAGTTCATATTTGTCAAATTATAAAAAGAAACATACAAATGACAATGAAGAGGACGACAGAAACTCTATTGATGGACATTTAAGCATACCTGAGAACAATGGGAAGCCAAAACAGCTACTCGGAGGAGGTTACCATGGAAAGAATCCTGTATCCGAAAATCCATACAATAAATACGCTTATGAATTTGATCCGCTTGAAGCACTCGACCGTGAAGACAGTATAGACCCTGAACCGGAAGTTGCAAATAAAAAATGTTATAAAGGTATTTTCAACAGACGTAAAGAAGACAAGGGTGCCATTCAAAAGCTTTGGGCAAACAGTATCAAGGCTAAATAACAGTGTTTCACGTCTATTGACAGCTAGTATTTAGGCTTTGTTGCAGGATTACATTTTTGAAAAACGGTATCAATCATGATAATAAGCAAGAAGTAAAACAATCTCAGTATCTTTCATTTAATGTGCTCATCTGTTGTTATCGTTGAACTTGAAATTTCAATATAAATGATTTTCCATCTGTTCCCTTTTTGTCAATAATGGTGTCCAAACAAATAATATAACTTGTAAAATGTAAGATGAAAATGTGGTGTTTCATACCAGAGAAAATAGTCTCATAAAATTGAGAATGGAAAAGGGGAATATGTCAAAGAGACAACAACCCGACCAAAGAGCAGACAACAGCCGAAGGCCACCAATGGGTCTTCAACACAACGAGAAAATCCCGCACCCGGAGGTGGTCCTCAGCTGGCCCCTAAATAAAATTGTGTACTAGTTCAGTGAAAATGGACGTCACACTAAACTCCAAAACATATAAATGGACTAAAATTAAAAAACATACAAGACTAACAAAGGCCAGAGGCTCCTGACTTGGGACAGGCGCAAAAATGCGTCGGGGTTAAACATGTTTTGTGATATCTCAACCCTCCCCCTATACCTCTAGCCAATGTATAATAAAGAAACACATAGTAATACGCACAGTAAAACTCAGTTCAAAAGAAGTCCGGGTAACAAAAGAAACCAAGCAAAATGACAATGATACATAAATGAACAAAGGACTACTAGCAGTTACTGACATGCCAGCTCCAGACCTCAATTAAACTGATTGAAAGATTATGTCATCATCATATGAAAATCAAGTACAATCCCTCCCGTTAGGGGTTTAGTATCATACCATCATAAAATATATGAGAAGAACATAACCCGTATCATTCCAACAACTGGTTTTAAAATAAATGTGTTTATTTCCGTTGCAAAGACCCTATGAGTGAATCAATATTAATACCAAAATATGCAATCCTTAATGACTTGACAACAGTATTGTAACTATATCCTTTCCGAGTAAGTCTGTTTAAAGGTTTGGTTAGCTTTTGAGGTGAATGCCGACATTTTTGTGCTTTGTAAAGAATATTACCATAAAATATTGGATGTGAAATACCTGAACGTATAAGATGTCTGCATGTTGATTTATATTTATATTTACGAATGATGTCCTTGTACCGATGATAAAATTTAGTAAATGTTTTGACTAGTTTGTGATATCGAAAACCCTGGTGTAATAATTTTTCAGTAATACAGAGATTTCTTTCGTTGAAATCAAATACGTTGTTACATACACGAGCGAATCGAACAAGTTGATATATATGAACACCATAAGATGGTGACAAGGGAACGTCACCATCTAAAAGCTCTTTTATCATAAATTTTGGTATTAAGCTTCCCGTTAAAGATATAGATATCAAGATCCAGGAAAGGGCAGTGTTCATTGTTAGTATTAGCTTTATTTAAAGTCAATTCGGCAGGATAAATCTCTTTAGTGTACATACGGAAGTCGTCATTATTGAGAGCCAATATATCATCTAAATATCTAAAAGTATTATTAATTTTTTGAATCAGATGTTGTTTTGATGGGTCTTTGCTGATTTTAGTTATAAATTGTAACTCATAACAATACAGAAACAGGTCCGCAATAAGTGGTGCACAGTTAGTCCCCATGGGAATTCCGATAACCTGACGATTTACGGAATCTCCATAGCGAACAAGAATGTTATCTAGTAAAAATTCAAGGGCAGTTATAGTATCAAAGCAGGTCCAATTGACATAGTTCTTTTGTTTGTTGTTACTAAAAAATGACCTAAAAGAGTTTGAACATATATATTCACATTCCGACTTTTTAAATGCCCATTTAATCAGGTGTGTGAATTTTTTCTTAATAAGATTATGAGGCAAAGTGGTATATAGGGTAGAAAAATCAAAACTTTGAACAAATTCAAAATCACCAATATAAGCATGCAATTTATCAAGTACTTCCAACGAATTTTTGACACTCCAAAAGTAATTATTTCCACTATTTTCAAAGGCCTTATTTGAACAATTTATTACCAGGTTTTTGATTGTACCAAGTGTACTAGTAAGTAGAATATATAGTTTAGTAGTGGAACAATGGCTTGAAGACGAAATAAATCTATATTTGTAAGGAGTTTTGTGCAGCTTCGGAAGCCAGTACATAGTTGGAACTTTCATTGTATTTGGTTCTGCTTGTAAAGAGGTAGCTAAAAGTTTGTTTGTTACAGATGTCATTTTCCGAAAATGGATTCAGTTGGAATGTTGGTGAATAGGTGATTTCCTTTTGTAGAACCTCAATGTAAAATTTACGTCAAACAATAATAATATTGTTTGCAGCCTTATCAGCCGGGACAAAACATATTCCTTGGCGAGTTGTTTTAGCTTATGTTTGATACGAGAAATTGGGCTATTATGGTTGTTGCTAGGAGTAAAATGATCTGCTCACTTTCAAACTATTTCAGAAAAGTCAATGTGACCTGAATTAAATGTATAAAAGGAAATATAGAGTATGCGTGAATGAGACAGCAACCTAACAACAATGATGACAAGAGAGAGAGAGAGAGAGAGAGAGAAAGAGAGAGAGAGAGAGAGAGAGAGAGAGAGAGAGAGAGAGACACTATACTATGTTTTTTAAGTAATTGCAACTGAAACAGGAAACAGCACCTGCATTCTAGAAATAATATAGCAACAGTTTCAGTATAGTTTATGACAAAAAAAAAGCTTAATATTTACTGTTATTAATTCTTCGATAATATGGATTAAGAGGAATTCTACAAAAAACAAAAAAAAAAAACCAACTGGTTAGAGAATACACATATTCATGAGCTTATCTCGAGTTAATAAAGTTCTATCAGTAGAAAAATTATTTCAAACGGGAAAGCACATCCTAATTTTTACGGAGATGCTGTTTACTGAGCCCGGAAAAATTAGATAGGTCCGAGTAAATTAATCGATCCTTTAAATAAACTTATTCTAAAAGGTTACCAATTCAACACTGTAATTAGATCTTTAAATATTGTTTTCTTGGTATAAATATTGATTTTGTTATCAGTGAATTAAAACCAAACTAATATTATTGTTATATACACATACATAATCATATTCACGGTTCTAAAATATGTCGATACCTGTATTTTGGCATTGCACAAGGTCATGCTTTTCTCTTACTGTTTATGACGTCTATACACTAAATCCATTGGATGTTGGATGTGTACTGATTGATACTTTAGTCTTTTAGATACATGATTTTTTTCATTAGTTGTTATTGACTCTGAACTGGCTGTCAGTAACTGCTAGTACTCTCTAGTAGTGTCTTTTTTGTTGTGGGGATGTATATATACCCTGCCATATATATCCGGTCTGTGTTTTTGTTAGTTGTTTTTCTGCTTTGTATCGATCTGATGAGTTAAGCTCTTTTCAACTAATTTTTATAGTTTGTTCATATGTTGTTCTGTTACGCCACTGTCCCAGGTTAGGGGAGGGTTGTGTGCATGCTAACATGTTTAACCCCGCTACATTCTGTATGTGCCTGTCCCAAGTCAGGAGCCTGTATTTCAGTGGTTGTCGTTTGTTTCTGTTTATCAAATTTGTATTTCGTTCATTATTTTTTACATAAATCAGGCCGTTAGTTTTCACGTTTGAATTGTCTTACATTTGTCATTTCGGGGCCTTTTATAGTTGATTATGCGGTATGGGTTTTTGCTCATTGTTGAAGGCCGTACGGTGACCTATAGTTGTTAATTTCTATGTCATTTCGTCTCTGGTGGAGAGTTGTCTCATTGGAAACTATACCACATCTTCTTATTTTTATATTTTATCATCTCTATATAATTCATTCGTTACATTTGTCTAGACTTTGGGCGATTCAGAGCTAAAATAGTGTTGAAGGCAGGATGTCTATTTTGTTAACTTTATAGTTATTGTTGGGTTGTTGTGTTATTGATGCTCGTTTTAAAGTAGATTACATATAAATATGCAATAAACAATTTGTTTTTTTAATTCTACATGTTTGCCTATATAACATAAGTGTGAAAGATCATACACAAATAAAAAAAAACATTCTTAAATTACATAAAATGACTCTAAAAATCAACAAAAAGTTAAAAAAAACTACTCGTTAAAAAGAAATTACAATATTTATCTTAAAATTGTTTCAACGATTTGCAATCTTATTAGACATTTTAGCACCAGATTAAATTAGTGTTTTTTTTTCCATCAAATTTGGCTTTGGTTTGGTGTGTAGTTTTATTGGAACGTTAAGTACTGTTCTCTTCTAAATAAGGAGTGACCAATACATTTACAGATTTGAATACCAGTACTGCTTTCTGATATTAAACAACTTTTTTCTCCACATTAAACAATAATGATGAATGCATCATTATACCAGCCTCTAAATGTAAATTTTCCTGAAAACGATTACCTCACCTCTTTTATTAAGGTTTATGTTCACTTTCGTTCGGAAGTATTTTTCTTTAAGGCCTTTGTAATAAAATGGTCTATTTCATATACTAGTAATTGGTTTGATATCCAATAAGACAACCATCCACCATTGACCAAAGTTACGTGGAAGTAGGCATTGCAGCAAGCGTTTAACTATAAAAACAAGTCAAACTGCGAGCTACTGCTGACTGATGATACCCCCGCCCAAATATGGATAATTTTAATAGTGTAAAAATATGTAAGTGTTCGGTTAATAGGATGTTGTTGAGTGGTGAATCTGAAAACGCATCACACGGTATAGCTGACTTATATAAACCCTGAAACCAAATCTCAGAAATCCTTATGATGTAGTTCCTGAGAAAGATGCGACGAAAAATATTCATGGCACGGATGGACGGACCGACAGAGGTAAAACAGTATACCCCCATCACACGGTATAGCTGACTTATATTTTTCAAAGCGGGGGTGTAAAAAACACAACATGACAAATTGTAAAATAAGAAAAATGAGAAAAACCAACAGCATAATTTTGAAAAAAAAATCAATTATTCATATTACGAAATATTGAGCATTTCTACGTCAAAAACGAACACCGCCATAAATTGTATAAACTATGGTATAATACTATTCAAATATTCAAATACATAAAGGTGAAAAAAATGCTGCAAGATGAAAAGAAAGCGCTAACACTTAAAAGATTAAAGCAGGAAATATTGATGGCCATCTGTGACATAGGTAATCCGTGCAAATCAACCAAGGCAATGATTATTATGATAACAATAAAAAAAAAAAAACTGACGACTTTAACTTCACCCTTAGGTTCCCTTTATTCAGTAGCTTACATTTTTTGTCAGTCATGTAAAAGAAATGAAACTCTAGAGAAAATACTTTCTCTATAATGTATGTGTCTATTTTGATACCAACAGAAGACGGTTCAAAATGAACACTTTCCCCTCTAAAATATGATATCAATTTAATTTTTGCTACAAATCCAAATGACAGATTGACTTTTGTTTGCTTAGTATCCAGTGGCAAATATTTTATGTATATTCAAGACGAGAACAAATCCAACAGTACAGTAAAAAATGGGTCGACTGTGTAAATGGTGGGAAAATTTGACTGCCACTGGTTAAAAAGGTAGCGTACAGATATGTAATTACGTTCAGAGATCATGGCACTTTCCTAACCCAAACCATTGGATTAGACGTCCCAATTCTTACCGAACATGGCTGCTGTCTTATTTGCAATGAAAGGGTGACATTAATGTTTAAAAGAATTTTTAAAAAATGCGTACACATATATGGTAAATATTAAACAAATAATAATTTCTTGTGAGAGACATATATAAATTTTGTCCATCAGTCGTCTTTAAAGAGAACATATATCTGTTCCCTTCGCAACAGAATGGGTAAAATACTTGAATCAAAAGGACATGTTTAAACATGCAATAGAAGATCGCTAATTGGTCGATAAGCATAGCGGAATCACAGATTTTATCTTATTAGATTGACAAGCCCACAGAAATTAATTCTTGTATCAGCTTGATATAATAACTTTTTGATCATCATACTTATAAATGTTGCATCACATATACAATTACAATGTCAATTGTTCGCAATTGAGAGGTTTTTCCTTTCCATAATGTAAAATATATGTTTAAATAGAAGTAGAATGCCTTGCAAAGCTCTAAAACACACATAAAACCCTTGAAATACGGTCGAAAACAAAATTCTCAATCTACGACATGATGTTGACCTTTGACCATATAATCTTTGTCAAGGTCAGTGGTTCCCGATGTCATTGCAAAAGACCCCATGGGTCTTGGACTTTTTGTTGAAAAGTTATACCTAAAATGTCTTTTGCACACCGTCAATTGTGGTTATAACGCTTAAGGAAAGTTCAAATCTCTTCGATCAAATATCACAAAGTTGTGCCTTAATAACCCAAACATTTTCCACTATTCAAGACATTTGTAACTATAACGGTTCCTGAGATTATACCAAAACAAGGTATAAGGTCAAAGGTCAAGATCAACTTAAAAACTTAAGCTTGAGGCATTTTCAAGGCCACATGAGTTGATTATCAATGGTGAAGATCCTAGATGTTTACGACTTATGTTTTCTGAGTTTTAGTGGCAAACCGACATCAGTTAATTGTCAATGAGTCTTTGAATCTTTTCAGTCCAAATCTAACGAAGAACCAGAGTACGGTCCTGAACAAATTCCACCCTTCGGTTTTGTTGTACCTATTATGGTAACGGTAATCATCCCATAACAAGTTTTTCAGGTTTGGGGCAGATAACACCGGGACGACAAAATTTTACGACTCACAGGGTGAGTTCAGGATAGGTATTTGTGACACCAATACAAATATGAGAACCTGAAATTGACATGTCTTACGGTTAGGGAGCTACCATTTGAATTTTATGGGGGGGGGGGGGGGGGGGGGGGGGGGGGGGGGGGGCTAGGATGAAATTTGAAAAAAAATAGGCAGGACAGGAGTTTTGAGTAAAAAAAAAGGCAGGATGTGATTATTTGCCAAAAAAAAAAAAAGGAGGACGACAATTTATGTAAAACAAAAGTCAGGATAAACTAAAAAAAAAAGGCAGGACCGAATAGGGTGAAAAATAAAAAGGCAGGACCGAATAGAGGGAAAAAAATAGGCAGGACAAAATTTTTCATCCTAGCCCCCCCCCCCCCCCCATAAAAATCAAATGGTAGCTCCCTTACGAAGGGAAACTTTGGCGGAAAAAGAATGATAATATTCAGAAGTTATACAGTAAGGTATTTCCCTTTGGAAAAAGGAAAGACCTTAATAAGCTTTCTATAAAGGCAATAGTAGTATACCGCTGTTCAATGGTCATAAATCGATTTAACTGAAACAAATCCAGGTCACAAACCAAAACTGAGCGAAACACATCAACTATAAGAGGAAACACGAATTAAAATCCAATACAAATAAATTAGAAACGGTCTGTTTTCATTTTTTAAGTCATATGCCCTATACAAATTATAGCTGAAGTATTAAAAATATCGTATATAAAATGAGAACATCCATATGATGCTACCAAGGATTTATATAGTAATAATCCTTGATGATACTATGTATAGTTTATACACATATACGAGTACAGATCTGTATTTAAATAAGCTCTGGTACCGGTCTTGCAGTCATAAAATTTGGAGTACGATTATCGTACTAGTACTCAGACTTAAAGCAATCAAATGCTGGATTGGGTGTTTCGTGAACAAATGTAGTACTCCGAGTACTGAGTAAAGTTTTATGACTGTTTGCCTTGATCTCTCCAAATACAGTCAAATAAGATATTACATGTACGGCTGACTACTTATTTCAAATCAGTATATTATAAGATAAATAGACCGCAATAAAAGTATCGTACTGATGTATTTGTAAGGTTATCTATAAATAAATCAAGATTTAAACATTTTATGTAGTATGTTAAGGTATGAAACGAACAAATAAATCTGGAGAAAATTCAGTTACTTCATGTATACGAAAATAACAAAATGATAACATAAAAGACTTTTAATAGTATAGTCTAAGATATAAAATAAGAAGATGTGATATAATTGCCAATGAGACAACTCTCCACCAGAGACCAAATGACATAAAAGTTAACAACTATAGGTCACCGTACGGCCTTCAACAATGAGCAAAACCAATACCGAATAGTCAGCTATAAAAGGCCCCAAAAAGAAAATGTAAAACAATTCAAACGAGAAAACTAACGGCCAGATTAATGTACAAAATAATGAACGAAAAACAAATTTGATATACAGCAACAAACGACAACCTTGAATTACAGGCTCCTGACAGGCACATACAGAATGTAGCGGGGTTAAACTAGTTTGAAGGCGCCAACCCTCCACTTAACATGGGACAGTGGTGTAACAGTGCAACCTAAGAACAAACTATACAAATCAGTTGAAAAGGTCTCAACTCATCAGATCGATAGAAAGCAGAAATACATCTAACATCTGAGTATTCTTGGGTAGTTTCAAAATAAATAAATGAAAATAGGCCAATCTTAATCCGTTTATATCATAAACCTATAGCACATATTAAATATAAAAATTCCTTCTTAACTGATTAATTTTTAATCTTTTAATCAGGTTACGAGAGCAATAGTGCATTCTGCAATATATTTCAATTATTAATAGACAAACTGTTTCGTATATAATGTTAAATCAAGTGTAATTATGTAACTAACATGTGACGTGACTTACAGTTGGAATAATGGGGAGTTCATCATCATCTCCTAAATCTAAAAAAGTTATCAAAAATAAGGTGAAATTTGTAACCAAAGCACAGCATGGTAGAAATAAGCAGATACTAAATAAGACAAATGCAAGGGCACAAAATGGCGGGATCAGGAAAACAAAGGACGATAAACCAAAACCAAAAGAAGGTATCATAAAGAAGCATGTGGGTACTTCTAAACCAAACACAACAAAGGTATATATTATAAACTATAATAATTTACTATATTTGTAAACTTTTTATACAGTTTTACTTAGATCGTAAAGACATCTTGTTCCTTCGTAGGAGTTCTGTAAAAAAATAACTGCTTCAACGTTTCATTTCACCTGATCAGATTTTGAATTAACAGTTATTTATACTTTCTGTAAACATAGACATAATTTTAAAACATAATTTCAACAAAAAGGTTAAGGCATGGTTGAATCATTAACTAAAACGAATACTCATTAATCAACATGTTTTTTTTTAAAAAGAAAAGAATGAAAAATCTTTACTAGTAACTGAAACAAATTTCCTTGGATTGAAATATAAATGCATTTTGGTTATATCGACGTTTTATTTTCCCCAGTCGAATGGTACCAAACCAAAACCTAAGAAGAAACTAAAACGAGGCGAGCCTCCACCACCTTCACCTCCAAAGTCAACCAAGGAAGAATTAATTGGAGATCTGAATTTTACCATAATTGATGAACACGCTTTTAACGTAAGACAACCCAGCATACTGTACATACTAAAAGATACTACACCTATAATTATATGCTCAACACAAAAATCATTATTTAATTTTACACCTCTTAGGAAAATACATGCATTATTGAAATAATACATGGTTGCAGCACTATCTATTCTTGAGTTCCATTGAGTTCTATTTGAAACCTAGTTGACCTCTGGTGTACATAGGGTCACTTAATATGTCCTAATTATAGGCGATAGTTATGCTTAACGTGTGATCAACATTATTATAAGTAAAGCATATTTGCCATAAACAATTCATTTTTCGCATATACCAAAACTATTTATTGAGTGATGAACAATATTAAACTAAGATTGGTCTGGTCACTTGCAAAAATTATGAAATAGCCACTCGAGATGCCCGTATGCGACATAGTCTTAGATACTCGATTTTCTACATCAATAAAATTTGTCCGGCCATGAACTTTACAGATGTTCGAAAAAATGAAATAAAACTCGGTTGAGTAAAGCCAAAAAAAAAAAAAAAACATAAACAGAAAAGAACAGTCGAAGTCGACATTAAATAGTTACACGATACTGAGAAAAATTAATAGCAAATGTGTCGAAATGATAAGCTTATCCTGCTCAACTCATACGTTCAATTATCAAGAATTTCTCTATTTTCAATTTAAGATACGATATGAATTCAACAATTTTAGTTTTCTTATTTGTAAACAGGCACCGAATGAATTATTGGTGAAGTCTTATTGGGATCTGGTGAAATATCTAACAGATGACGATACTTGGGAGGATCTGTGGAAAATTCGCTCTATTTACAAATGGATCACTTCATACAATATAAAAAGTTTACCCATTGACTTCAACCCACCACCTAACTCACCATTGGAATATTTCTCTAAAATACAGTGTGACATGGGAAACTATGCCAACCTTTTCTATGTTTTATGCCAGTAAGTATTCTTCCAATACTAAATTCAAGTTGTTTGATTAAAATCTCGGTGGTCTTTTAACAATTCTAATGTAACTGAATTCAAAATGCCAAAATGGTGTGATATCGCAAAAAATGATTAAGAAAGAGATTCTTACCCAAAACCACAATCATATTGAAATTACAGCAATGTTAATTTTATGTCTGGCTGATTAAGGATTCGTTCGTACAAAATTATCTAAATCAAATAAAATTTTCGATATTGTAACAAATCTGTCTACAACATGAATGCATAGCGCTTAATAGCATATAAATTTTAAGTTAACAAAAAATATTATATCTTAAACGTTTATTAATTAGATTCTTTGATATTAAAATTTCAGAAGGTTTTAACAACTTCCGGATTCTGTTAAAAGTAAGTTTTATTCCAGGTTGGCCGACGTGCCATGCGTAATCATTGACGGTATTGCAAAAAGCTCAGCGTTTAAAATTGGTGAAAAAATCAACAAAAGAAGAACAAAAGCACAATGGAATGCAGTTTTGATTGATGGTGAATGGCGGCTGGTAGATTTGTTTTGGGCGTCTACTTGTGTTGAATTAAACTCAGGCGAGGCGAAAAAGATTGCTCAAAATAATAAGAACAGTTATGATAAAAACCAAGACGACGAACAGGATGTCAAATCTCCTGTACCTTTCCTTGTAAATGGAAAAGAAATGGTACCTGACAAAGGCCCCGAAGACAATCGTACGGCAAATAAACAGCAAAATGATAACATCAAAGACAATAAAGATAATTCTGAACAAAATAAAAGTGAAATAGGCAAACCGAAAGTAAAAAGAAAGAAATTAGATATGAAAAAATTCAAACAAATAAAACATACTGAAGATGCCGATGACTGTTATTTCTTGACTGATCCACGTGACCTACTTTGGACACATTTACCAGACGACGAAGACTGGCAACTTGTCGAAAAACAACTACCGTTTCTTGAATTTGAGAAGAGAGTATATGTGAGAGAAAGACTGTATGAACTAGGTATTGGATTCGAAGGAAAACACAACGTTCAGTGCAAACATAAAACAAAGCAAGGTAAAGTTTCCTTAGATTTGAAGCTTCCACGGCGTTGGGCAGCGAAACTTGGGTTCAGATATAACTTTTATCGATCAAAGTCGACAGCATTTTGTAAAGAAGACGACGACGGATCATTGGAACATTGTGTCGAATGGGAGGTTAAAGGTGACATTCTAGAGATAGATATCAATATTCCTGTATATGGACAATTCAGATTAGATCTTTTTGCTAAAAATCCTTTGTTTCGAGCAGTGAGAGAATTCGACCTAATATGTTCTTATATAATATACAGTCCAATGCCACCAAGAATAGAGATACCGCTTCCGGATAATCCGGAACTTGGATGGGGTCAGAACAAACAATCAGACAAGGTTGGTTTAAAACCAATTAGCCACAAAATGTCTAAAATTAGTACAGACACTGGACAATTGGAGCTAAAATTCCAGGGTCAAAAGAATTTAAACTTAAATGTGAGGTTAAAACACAGAGTATTGGATGAAGGGACATTGTCTCAATATTCAACACTACGGTGGCATGACGGAGAGTACATTTTGAATTTGAGGTTACCTAAAGATGGTTATTACGCAATGAAACTGTACGGGAAGACAACCGAACCAGGCAAGTCTAATCTATTGAATTATCTTATTAGGTGCAAAAATAAGAAGCCGAAAGACGAACCGTTTCCGATTCTCAGTCAGACTATGCTTGGTGAAGCGGTTTTGGCAAAGAACTTGGGTATAAGAGTTCTAGATAAAGAAAATGGAATTGCTACCGCTGGAAAGGGAAGGGGTAAACTACATTTCTGTTCAGAGATGGGTGATTCTTTATTGTATGAAATACACTCAAATGATCCCGAGGCCATGAAACGTGTGAATTTGATTCTAAAAAATGAACATGGAATAGAAAGCGTCCATTATATATTACCAGTTGCCGGAGAATATTTTTTCTGTGTTTACACGCATAAGGACAATGATATAACCAAACTATACACTGTATATACTTCATTAATTCACTCAACGGGCAGTATTGGCGATAGTGTTTTCTCTCCACGTATAGCATTTGGTGACAATAAAGGATTTTGGCATGGAAAACATGCCATTCCAATTGAGACAATAGAGGCAACAGAGAAAGAAGTGTATCTTCCTTATCCGGAATCTTGTTATGACTTAGTTGCTTATTTAGATACTAATCAAGGAAATGGTCCTCAGAAAACAAGTGCCATTGAAAAAGTAATTGTTGATGACGAGGTTTTGTTCAAAGTCAAATTACCAGATATCAATTACTGTGCGGTGAACATATTTCAGAGAAATGATGGAAATCTGATCAAAACAATCAACAAGTATTTCATAACAACCGCCACAGATGAAAGTTCTAATGAGGATGTGATGGAGGAGGACTTTCCTCTATACTCTAAAACACCAGATCTAGACCAAGATGATATAACAGGTATTCTATTAATTATGATAGACGACTTTTAAGAACATGCAATTATAATGTTATTTCGCAAAGGTTTGAGGTAAGCAACTGATTTTTTACCAATCAATAATTATCAGTATCAATGAAAACGACCCCCCCCCCCCCCAAAAAAAAAAAACAACAATAAAAAAAAACAAACAAAAAAAAACTACAAACAAAAAACCAAACAAACAAACAAACAAAAAAACAAAAAACAGATAAGGGTATAGGACGAGAATCTTTTATACGGTATAATAGTTTTGTATTTTTTATATGTTCAATTTTGTACCTTTTCTTAGTCCAATTATCGAGATTAAAAAGTGGAGAGTTAAATTGAGAAAAAAAAAAAAAAAATTTAACCTCGCCACATATTCATATTAAGCATATTTGATTGGTATTTGATCAATTTAGCAGATCTTTGATAGTTTTTGTATACAATAATAAACTAAACAGAAAAAATGATCAGCAATACAAGGTCTCAAAAACGATTTTAGTCATGAATTATATTATAGTGAACAATGTTGGAGAGTAGCCATTAAAGGAAGAATCTTCACTACCTAATGACATTTTGCACCACTTATTTTTCATTAAAGTAACAACAAATGTTAAGAACATCTAGCAATTTTTGTTTGGCCAAATAGGTAGACATTTCAGGATTTTATTGAGTAAGTCACAACCGGCAGCAAAGCAAATGGCTCTGTCGGCTTTAGAAGGGGCTGTGGTAATTCAGCATGTATGAACGGGAGATATACCTGATGTCTTTCTATTGTTGCCTTTTATATGTGAATATCAAACACTTTAAAAAACTAAAGCTTTGAGGCAAAACGAACTATCATCAAAACTATTTTAAGCAAAATTAACAAAACCTATCATAAACAATAAATGACCGTGTTAGATGGGATACAATCTACAATTAAAATGACTGTGAAATAAGACTAAAATAAACACAGTACTCTAAAACGTAATTTATTAACTTCAGAAAAACGAAAAGAGTATATGAGAAAGAAAATGAGGGAGGCAGAATACTATAAAGACCCGGATGTTCTGAACAATTTAATATACAAATACGAAGATCAGAGCCAAGATATCGACGACGCTATGTTAATAAATGTCAAACGAATGGCTAAGAAACTTGAAGCAAGGCAAGGTATGTTATAAATCTTTTAACAACCAAGGATGTTCGCTACTCTGTTCCAAAATAACAAGTTTTTTAAAAGACTATTATAAATTGATAGTAAACAAATAATGGAAATAAAAAAAAAATAAAAAAAAATATAGGTCCATGTCCTTGTTTTTGAGATACAAGCCATTGAAAATTTGGCGGGCAATGATTTTGTCTAGATTTTTCATACATTTATCAAGGGCACTTATTTTCTTTTAAAAAATTACGAAAATAAACAAGGATTTGATAAGATTTTTAAAAATGGCTTATTAAACTTATGTAATTAAACTATGAAAGTAGGAGTTAGCGTTCAAAATTTTTTATGGCACTACATGGATAAAACCAGAGTATACGGAATAAGCAGCAAGTGTCAAATTTTCAAAAAAGTTTTTTGACCAGGTTTGGTATAGAGCATATTCTGTATTTCAGAATTTCCATTTCCATTCTCAATTTTATTGATCCTTTTTATTTTGGTATACAAAACCGATTTAAGAAAATATGCTAGTTAGCGCACGGAATTATTGATGTTGGGGTCTGAAAAAAAAGGTCGGGGTTTAAGAAATGTTGTGTACATAATACATATATTATAATCTGTATTAATCTTTATCTTCTAGTACTTCTTGATGCCTATGAATCTAGAAACATACAAGATGTAGAGAGAGGGATTGCATTGGCTCAGATAGCTGACGTTGATGGGTCACTTCAGTTTGAAGTCATGCATGCAAAGCGATTATTAAACAGACTTAAGATGATACATAGAATTAGAGAGACTATCATGGAAGCTGACGGCAAGGCTATAGGGGAAGGTAGAAAGTACGCTAACCCACCTAAACCTGTAAAACACTCTTTAATGGCAACACTGGTCTTACTTGGGTTCCCGTCATTTGTTGTAGAGGTAAGATTTTCATGCTGGTTTACAGTAAGTGTCAATTATAATATGCATTTATATATAAGTACTTTAATGACTAAAATTTGTGAGAAGATACCAAGGAATAAGTTAAAAGCTACAAGTAGAAGAAAAACAAACAACGCCGTGACCAAATGTAAAAAGACAAACAAGCATCAAACCCACCGTAAACCTGGGGAAAACTCAGGTTCTCTGGAATGGTAAGTAGCTCCTTGTGCAATAATGTCAACCGACTTGTTGCTCATCGCAATAAAAAGAATCCGGCCAAAATCGCTTTCGGTGATGTAAAAAGGACACGATTTTTAGCTACAACTAGTGGAAAATATCCATGGTCATCTGTGACACAGATATTCTTTAACGGTCAACAAAAATAATCTAGCTTACTAAAATTGAAGTTGATACAAAAATTTAGACATTTTATGATTAACAAAATCATGGTAGTGCAGGGATTGGTACAATACAACTTAGTTTTGATTACCATTAACAATCAGAGAAAATGTTGTATCATGTCTTTAGGGAATATTTTCTCTGTATTGTAAGGTTTTAGGGCTTTTTTACTTTTGTGTTACATCTTCCAAGTTTACATACTATATTTGTTAAATCAGTACTTGAGCATTTTTTTATATTCACTATAAATATAAAAAGATAAATAGAAACATGAGTCTTAAAGTTTGTCAAATCGAAAAGTAAACGGAATACCAGGAAGTGTGAAAAGAGATAAAAGGTAAGAACAGCAAAAAATAAAATATGCACATGAAGATAAAACACTATTTTGTACATTTAGTTTTGAAAAAAAAGGATTATAGGAGATTGGCAATAGTATACCCTCTAATTGTTCATTGGCTAACAATTTTAAAAATGTACATGGTCAAGACGTTTGTGTGCCTGTCTCGTGCGGTTCGGTAATGCTTAGTGACACACTTTTTATTCTATTTAGGATTGGTCGACTACTCAAGGTATTTTATGGAAAATGGACAATGACTCTATCCAAAATAAGATGGCAAGATTTGATCCTACAATGTGTCGACTTGAATTCGCCCTTGATGCCAAGCAATTTATCGACCAGTACTCCTTGGACTACATCAAGACTGTTAGTCCACTTGGAACAGCTTTTTACGTCTGGGTATGTACAAAGACATTGCAACTCATTCGTTCTGAAAGTATATCGTAGCGATATACTGCACTGATTTGGCAGTGCATATCAAATTATTAACTGTAAACAACAAAAACCTTACTTTGATTAAGAATTTGAATATTTACAAAATATTGGTTTCAGATTAGGTTTTGTTCAATAGTTTTCTACAAATTAATAAAAAATTACCATAAAAAAAATATATCTTACATCGTTGCTGTGACAATGCCAACGTGATAAAATCACTAAACATTACATGTCAGCTTCCATGATTTTGTCTGTTTTAATCTGTTCTGTAGTATGATGCACATAAAACACGTACATCTATTGTTATTGTTAATTTGTAATAAATGTGGATACACATGTGGACACAGATGATGCCCCCGTTGCATATCATATAGTTATGAAGGGACATAACTGAAGAATGATAAAAGTGACGCTACCCAAATTTGAACTTGATCTGAGTTTTGTGGTAATAAGCATTGTGTGTAAGGCTCATGACATTTAATTGAGGCTAACTTAAGTAGAGAACAGAAACTAAAAATTCAGCAATTTTTCTATTTGTAAACACACCGCGGCATAACTCTAGAACGGTTGTGTATAAGTTTTATAACATTTGGTTGAGGCTAACTTAAGTAGAGAACAGAAACTAAAAATTCAGCAATTTTTCTATTTGTAAACACGCATAACTCTAGAACGGTTGTGTATAAGTTTTATAACATTTGGTTGAGACAAACTAAAGTTAGAGAACAGAAACGAAAACTTCAACAATTTTTATGTTTATAAAGGGACATAACTCAAGAATGGAAAAAGTGTCGCCACCAAATATCGTACTTAATCTGTATTATGTAGTAATAAGCATTGTGTATAAGTTTCATATTAACATTTGGTTGAGGCAAACTAAAGTTAGAAAACGGAAACAAAATATTTGTACTTGATCTTAGGTTTCATAATGTTTGGTTGGCAAACTTAAGTTACAGAATGGAAACTAAAAATTTTGCAATCTTTCGATTTATAAAGGGGCATAACTCAATAATGGTTAAAGTGACACTACCCAAATTCAACTTGATCTGTGTTTTATCAGTGGAAGTCAAAATTAAATATTACATTGTATAAAGCATTGATTGTAGTTGATTCAACTTTAATCATGGACAAAGGAAGATAACTCCAATTTTAATTTTAAAAAAAAATTCTTGATATTTTGAAGAAAATAAAAATTTTGCAATTTTTCCATTTATAAAGCGGCATAACTCTAGAACGGTTAAAGTGACGCCACCAAATTTCAAACTTGATTTGTGTTTTGTGATAATAAGCATTGTGTATAAGTTTCATAACATTTGGTAGAGGCAAACTTAAGTTAGAGAACGGAAACTAATTTTTTTGCAATTTTCCATTTATAAAGGGACATAACTCGAGAACGGTTAAAGTGACGCCACCAAAGTTCAAACTTGATCTGTATTTTGTGGTAATAAGCATTGTGTATAAGTTTCATAACATTTGGGTGAGGCAAACTCCAGTTAGAGAACGGAAACCAATTTTGGGACGTACGGACGTGTACGTGCGTACAGACGGACAAGGGTAAAACTTAATGCCCCCACCGCTACGGCGGGGGCATAAAACAGTGAATGTAGACCTAAAAGAGACAGCAGGAAAACTTAAAGATAAACCAATAAAAGCAACAGCTCTGGCAAATCTGCTCATAACTTCATATACCTAATCCTTTTCATTATCTATGTCAGAGAAATTATTAAGACATTGGAGTTTTTGTGTAACTAAATAAGAATTTTTCTTTCCATAGACAACACAAATGATTAGAGAAATTGAGTCAATGGCTGGAACACTAGGTGGTTATAGTGACGTTTACCATGACAACGACGTACAATCACAAAGTTATAGCGACAAAGAAAACTCGAACAGGGAACCAGTGACTACAGGAATAGATACCCCTTTGGACAGTCAGGAAATGCCCCCTGTTAATAATCCACCAACGGATAGTTCACGTCGCATTAATAACAATAATGGAAATAGGAAACAGTCAGAAACTAATGCAGGACTTACTTTTGTACGGGTTACACCTACTGGAGAAACCTAAAATTAAATTTATCCTTTAAGATTATATCCCTTATAAGGAATTATTTGACTTTATGTACAACCACATTAAAAGTTAGGATCAGTTAGTGTAGAGCTATTGTCAGATGTATGTAGATGTTCCGGACCATATGAGTATTTGTACCATACGCGTATGGTCATGACCATATGGTTATTAACAGACCGAACCATATGATTATTTAGACCATATAGGTATTTTATCATTTATCTTTGTCGTTTTTCGTCCACAAGTGAAAGCACAGGTTTTTTTTGGCATGGACCTGTTTTCTTAGTGCTTAAATTATTATTGCTGAAACAAAATTTCTTATAATCTCAGCTTATTTTCATTTAATTATTGTGTTCTTTCTCCTATTCATACGATTTATCTGTTATTATAAGCTCGTATGAATATCAGCAAGAACACATTACGGTGCATTACGTTTGCGCGCATTACCATTACATTTGCGCGCAAAAATCATTACGTTTGCGCGCATTTATTTGTCAGGTAAACCCAGGTAAACTCAGGTAAATATAGGTAATAATTCTAATTTATTTATTAATTTATTCATTTATTTACAAGTAAAAGTACCTCTCCCGTTAGTCTTAAGTCCTCTGCTCACCAACGATAACTAAATCAATTTGAAATATTTGAGGAATTATTATTTAATAAAGACACTAATTTAAAAAAACGGAAAAGAGAGAGGGTTCAATGACAAAGTTTCTGTGAGTTAAACAAAATATTTGACTTCTTGTTTAACAGTTCATTCAGATATTTCTTAGAGTACGTATTGCGTATCGTACAAATGCAAGATAAAATCAATAATGACCATTTAGAAATGATTTTACTATAATTCTTACATGTATTTAAAATTCATTTTAATTCGTTAATCATGTAAGAATGATTACAATATGATTGAATGAGTAAAATATTCATTTTAGAAGCTCTTAAATTAATGGGACAACGTTCATCGTGTTAATTATCTGGACCATACGCGTATGGTCCAAATACTCATATGGCCCGGAACATAAATATCAGTGGTCATGTTAAAGTAATGTACGGTATCTTTTACCAGATTTGCAGAATAAGTTATCAGATGAGAGAAAAATGAAAGAACTTTAATATGAATCCATTTATGTTGATATTATTGGATTATGATCTATGCGAACAGTTAATTTTGTTTCATTCCTGTTGCAGTTTTTCTTGTTCATTGGTAGTTTTGTGCATCTTAAAACGATAGACTTTAAGTTACAGTTATCCTTTGCCAGTGTAACGTGTACACAAGGTAAGCGTGTCTATTTCTATTCTAGAATGAGTTCGTTACCAGTTTGATACTGCATCCAAAATGTTCTATTTAAAAACATATATATAACAAATAATCTTTATTCATAAATTAACGTCAATGAACTAAAAAAATACAACTGCTCTTTGCGTTCTCTAATATTCTATATATAACTATTCTACTTCAAATATATATAACTCGTACAAATTTGTACTATTACAAATTTTTCCTAGGTCAGGAACAAATTGGTCTCCTGGTACAAATATGTACCCTACAAGTTAACACACTTGTCCAACACGTCACTCGTTCTCTTGGTACCATTATGTACCTTACAAGTTGGTCACACAGACTCACACTTGTCCTATACATGTTGGTACTCTTCAAGCTACGACTTGTCTTAATGGTACATTGTGGTACCCTACAAGTGAACACACTTGTCTTGTACGGTAAACTTCATACTTGACAAACTACAAGTTGTACAAGTCTTAAAGAACAGGCCCTAACCATGTTCTTTGTTGCATTACAATCATGAATGCAATTCAATATTAGAGAATACTAACAGGCACCAACCTGTTCTTTATTACAATTAGTAATAGAAACTATATAAGAGACAACTATCTCAAATATCCTTTCTCTAATTATCACGTACCGTACGTATCATGGCCATCGTCTTCGTAGCTTCAGACGAATGACCAACAGCTGATGATGGGAGTTTTTAACGACCTTCACTGGCTATACAGCCCTCGCACGGTCGGCTGACCAACAGCTAGGAATCGCTCCTGATTATATACCCCAATGCCAGCTATACTATTCTTGTAGAAGGGGTGTTCTTCCAAAGTGCCTCATTACTCGTATTACAATTTCCTTTAAAACACCCCTTCACATTTGACCTGATCCAATGTTTACCCGCGAAACATCTTATTCATTTCTATGTTTTATCAAAGTATATACAAATACATTAAATAAGGCTTCTGCCGAACTGAAACTAATGTAAACGATCTAACCTAAGATTCAAAATCATCACACCAGTTTAAAACATCTATACCGTCATATTATTACTGTGCTGTACTTGGGCAATATGAATCAATATTTATACAATAACTGTTTGAAATATGATAAGAATACCAATATTTAATCAAGAGTAATAGTTTTCCAGCGATATTCCACTCGCAGGTATCAATAACTGCTTAATGTTTGGTTACGTTACATATACATCGTTTCACCTTTCCTGTAAAACATAGTTACTAGTTATAAAAAGCTGCAGTTAGTGCATTTCTTTTTCGCATTTTCATAATAAATCATTGTTATATTCCGAGTCTCCGTCATAATTTCGTACATTAGCCTATACAAAATCATATTAGATATTAGATGGATATGACTACACTGGTAAAATAATATAACAAATGAACTTGCAATCTGCACAAACTGTGCACTTATAGTCATTACCATTCCATGACCTTAAACTATTGGTAGTACTGACTGAAATCAGTATTTTTTTCTACAATCATCAGGCAGGTCATTCAAAATTGAAATCAAATCCTTTGTTTTAGTTCTCAACCAATACCGACTGTCAATTTCTATATGAATATCAATATATAAAACGGACCTATAGTAGTTAAACTGTATATGTAGTATTCAATGGGATAAATACGATTAACAAAGACACAAAAGTATTAAATATTCAGGAATTGTCTATATTCGGGATGTGTATATTAATGATATTCGTAGCTTTTCTTCTTCAAATACAGTTAATATAGAAAAAAGAAGATGTGGCATTATTGCCAATGACACAACTGTCCACCAGAGTTCAAATGAGGTGGATATAAGCAATTATAGGCAACCGTAAGGCCTTCAACAATGAAAACATCCCATATCGTATAGTCGGCTATAAAAGGCCCCGACGTGAAAAATGTGTTTGCTTTAATTTTTCAATTTATGTAGCATCATTATAACAACGTCTGCATTTGATGAGTGCATATGCCCCCCAGTTTATACGATATTTACTTGAGCTTGCATATCAGATCACAATTTTCTTGATAGGAGGTCGCTGCTACACGCAGGCGGAAACCCAGTTGAAATTAAACAAAAGAAATGGAACTCTTTATTAGAGAAGGTAAAAAAGGCCAAGTCGTTAAAGTTGAATTGCTTACATCTGTTTCTATGGGCTTTAAAAGTTTAATGACTGTGCATAATTTAGGATTTTATGGATCATGAATATGTGTTTTACTTAAATTATGGTATGGAGCTTCGAGATATTTGAAAACTTTTAAATTAAAGACAATTTTTCACAAAACAGTTGATTGGGGTAGGTGAAAATACATGTGGATCTTTTTTGTGCATAAGCATAAATTCCGCCGAAAAAAATTCCAAAGAAAGATAATAGGTTGTTCTTTTTAAAGCATTAATTTGTATCTCTGCCCCGGGCGACTTTTTTTTGGGAAACAAATTCCAAAAATGGGAAATAACTTCATCGAAGAGAAAGTCGAGTACACCTTTTTATGTTCAGGCGTGTTTGAATTGACTATTCTGTCTCGAAAATGTATACAAGAAAAATATTTGATACATTATCTCGCTTCAGGTCCTATTATTTTTATATATTTTGGCTATAGGTAGATAAAATAACATTAAAAAATTACAGTACTAAGAAATGAAATATATGGGTCAAGTGAAATATCTTGAACTCTCGAAAAAAGTAAAATCACAAAAATACTGAACTCCGAGGAAAATTCAAAACGGAAAGTCCCTAATCAAATGGCAAAATCAAATGATAAAACACATCAAACGAATGGACAACAACTGTCATATTCCTGACTTGGTACAGGCATTTTCAAATGTAGAAAATGGTGGATTGAACCGGGTTTTATAGCGCTAAACCTCTCACTTGTATGACAGTCGCATCAAATTCCATTATATTTACAACGATGCTCGAAAATACTCCCTGACAACCGATCAGACAGTAGATATATTTGTCTTTTAAGATACAACTAGTATTTAAGCTAATAAGGATCGTAATGATGCTATGTGGATAAATTGATCGGTTTTCAAAAGCTAAATTGACAGCTGCACAGGGCCGTAAATTACATAGAGGCATGTAGGCAGTTGCCTCCTATTGCGGACTGACAAAAAAAAAAGAAAAAATGAAGAAAAAAATACTGAAAAGAAAAAATTGTTAAAATCAAGCATTATTTTAATAGCACTGGTTGTTACTTTTACGTCTATTAATGAGATTGGGTCAAAATGTACAATAGAGCATGCAATCAAACACACACACTTCTACCCAAATATAAAACAAATACTTTTGCTTCTGTTAGCCTTGCCAGTTGGGTCCTGCAGTTGTGAGAGATCGTTTTCTGCGCTACGGCGCCTTAAATAAAATTGAGAATGGAAATCATAGTGGGGAATATGTCAAAGAGACAACAACCCGACCAAAGAGCAGACAACAACCGAAGGCCACCAATGGGTCTTCAACGCAGCGAGAAAATCCCGCACCCGGAGATGGTCCTCAGCCGGACCCTAAATAAAACTGTGTACTAGTTCAGTGAAAATGGACGTCACACTAAACTCCAAAACATATAAATGAACTCAAATTAAAAAACATACAAGACGAACATGGAACAGGTCAACAATGACGGAAAGCAGATTACGTGGTCTGGCTATGCTACATATAAAAGTGACAATGTTGGCAATATTGAATGCATAGAAGTGCTAAAGAGATGGGATTCGTCCGGGCACAGAAAAATCCCCTTAGCAATTGACAAAGCCTAACCGAATAAAATTGTCAGTGTAAACAAAATGTGTTACGTTATAATAATTTGAATTTGATAATTAAAAGTTATGAGTTATTAAGTATGCATTTTCATTTTAAGGTTTGAAAATTGTGTCTCTGAAACGAAGTCAAAATAGCTCGATTGGGACAGCCAAAAAAGCATGATAAACCACAAAAAAGGCTCAACTTTAGGGGCCTTTCATTTTAAGTTCGCAAATTGTTTCCCTAAAACCTAGTAAAAATAGCTTGTGAAGAGTCACAAAGCAGAATGAAGCGTAAAAAATCTTACTTTACCGGCACACGTAATCTAACTCTGGTTTATAACTATTTTCAATATATTCCAGGCACTTATTTATTAAAATATAACAAAAAATTAACAAGTGAATTTTGAAGAGGTACATTGCATACAGGGGAAAGGCCCGAAAACATATCATTTTCTGCTTAAAATGGGTCAAAAAATATTTTTCGCCTCGCTCCGCTCGGCGAAACTCAACTGCCTCCCCTTACTAGACAGACACTTTACGGCCCTGCAGCACGTCATCACTACAATGACTTCCATTTTACGATTATAAAATTAGGTGGCGTAATGGGGAGATAATTTTGACGAAGTAGAATCCTGACTGCGAAAGCAGGAATTGTCTTTATTCGGGAGGTGTATTTAAATGATAACCGTGGCTTCTTTTCTTCAGATACAGTTAATATAAAATAGTGTGAATATTAACACCGGCTAGGTCCACACTAGTATCACCGAATGCGACGGACTTCTACATCATTAAGTCTCTTGTAGGAAATTTTCTCAACCATACCACATCTTCTTGTGTTTATATTAATACCGAATCGGAATATTAACCTGCCACGATGTAGCAATACCCAGTTATAGGAGAGTTGTTTGGCATTTTGGCACGGTGGATTTTTCAAATATGAAAGTTCGTATGCAATAAAATTCATTTTTAGACAGCTGAAGAAGAAAAGCTTAAATATTGTTTTTTTTATATGTTTTATTGGCTATTTTTTTTATTACATACATATGGTCGGGTTGTTGTCTCTTTGACACATTCCCCATTTCCATTCTCAATTTTATATACACATATAGGACACACACAGTGAACTTAATTTGTTAAAAATCAAAAAAGGAAGATAGTAAAATGTATGAGTGTCATTTTTTATTTTTTATCTAAACTGTATATTGCTACCTGAACAACACATAACAAGGTTGCGATTATTGGAGCAGGATCTGAGATTTATTCCGGTATTTTAAGTAAGGTTCGTTGTTTAAAGTCTTTA